CTGAAATGTAGTATATTGTTAAGTTTATCGAAAATATCAGTTAACGAATTCCGTTATGTACGTACATACATACATAATATGTTAAAATCGATACTTAAGTACGTACGTAGGTCTCGACACTAGCGGCATATAGGTGGATCGTCCCTTCCCCAGGGCCCCTTGACCGAACCCCTCCACTTACAAGTCTGACCTAGATAGAATGTTTGATCGATGTCCATTTATGTTACCCATTTGAGTTATTGACTACCTGGCTAATATAATATTCCATGTGGTTCCACACACGTGCCTATTTTAAAACAATTAAACTTTTAATAAAAAATGAAAACCGATTTCAAAAACTAAAAAAATGTGCTAAGTGTTTGTGTGTTTTTATAAAATAAGGGTGACAAACGAGTACACAGTCCACCAGATGATAAGTGGATGCTGTGGCCCATAGACATTTCTATCTGTTCTTAATAATGAATCAAAATGCAGATGCGTTGTCACCCCTGAGGACTAAGATGGAATGCCTCGTAACCAGTAAAAAGGGTCTCCGGTTCTCTACACTTACCATACGAAACATTACAATATTAAGCTGTTATATTACGCGGGCATTCTGTAAGAGCGTGGTCCTTCCCCGGTCAAGCCGACCAATACGTGCAGCGGTCATAGCACACATTTGTGTGACTGTAGCACAATGTTCGAATTGGTTTGTCACGTACCAAAATAAAATACAATGAGAATCGTTTTTAATTTTAGTGTTTATTTTTAATATTTTAAGTTTTGTTTTAAAATAGATATTAAAGATAAGTAACTAGCGATGCAACATGGACAGAGTTACATCTCTGCAACATTGTGGCTGTAGCACCAGTTTTATAATAATAATAATAATTTCTTACCACAAACGACATGGAAGATATATTAGGGTTACATCTCTATTTTAACAATATTATGTAATTCATGGGAGACTGGTGCCCGTGTAGGTTCAAAGAGCTGTATTACAGGTCACCAGCCCCCCTCCCCAATTCACTTGGCAATTAGTATAATAATTACAGAAATCACTTATGTTATGGTTAGGAATAATATTATATAGAGAAATTTATCAGTTTGGATACATAGACATAAAAAGTATAAAACAAAAATTAAAAACCATGTATGTTTGTAGCGTAAGTATGATGAGAGTTTGTGACTGTTAGCATGTCTGTGTGTATGTTTGTGAATATTTGTGAGGTTATTTGGAGTAATTGTTCAGTATCTGTGTATGAAAGAGTTTGAAGATATTCCACGAGTCCATTTTTACATGACCATCTGTTGACTTCATAAATAAAAAACTTTTCGTGTAATTTATTATATAAATACGGACCCAAAAAAGTGAAGAATCTCCTAGCAAAAGATGTGAAGAAAGACACTGACTGAGCTACCAGATGATTACGGCGGCAATGTTCCTAGTTTTATGCTGAGTGTTTTGCCTTTTTGTTATTACAGGCTATCAGTATTTTGCTAAACATGCCCCCCCCCCTGGCTGTCTCATGAGGGAGATATTTTTCATAGTTGCCACGCTTGGCAAGGATCGGCAATCGCAGATTTTTATTTTTTAGTTGTTATCATGAAGTCGCTGCGGCCCACCTCCCTTTCCCTCTGTTTGTTGCTGCAATTCTGTAAAAAAATTGTTTTAGGCTATGAGCTATGTATGATAGTTACAAAACGTAAGCTAATTACATTTTGTAACTATCACACATATTTAATCCTTATCTTTTTCAGTATTCTCTGTCACCTCGCTGGCAGCCTGTCCGGCACCGGCATTTTTTTCTGTTTAACTTTTTAACTATTCCATGTTCATAATAAGAGTGCATTTATTATGAACATGGAGTAGTTATAATGTGCTATTACAAAAAAGTTAACGCTTGCATTGGTGTGTTCCGGTCTGACAGGTATGAAGAGCCAGTATTATTTGAGGTTGTAGGGCCTTCCATCTTATACCTCAGACGTGACAACGCATCAAGTTGCCTGTTAATGTCCAATCTATATATGATATAAATGCCAGGTAAAATTCGTGGACGTGCACAAGCCATTTACCACCAGGTGGACTATAAATACGCTTGTCATGTCAATTTTATTAAAAAAAAAATTTGAAACATTTGAAAATTCGAATTTAGGATTTGTACATAGCATTTAATTGACCGATTTTTTAGGTCCTAAAATGCTATTGTACCTTTTACTGAATATCTATTTTTGCCACCACGAATAAATTTGCTATTTCTGATGGTAAAAGATTTTTTTATAGAATAAGAATGACAAACGAGTACATAGTCCACCTGATGGTAAGTGGATGCCCATAGACATCGATTAGGAATCAAAATGCAGGTGCATTATCACTCCTGAGGACCAACATGTAATGCCTCGTTTCTAAAAAGGGTCTCCGGTTCTGTACACTTACCTTACGATATTTATAGAAGGCAAGTTTTCTGCCTAGATGTCCGACTGATTTGCTACCAGCCTGTTATCTATTTCTATTGTCGAGCAGCACTTAACCCACTATTCTGTTCCGTTTTGAATCTTCCGATTTTATCATTATTTCAAATAGACGCCGATTTTTTAGAATAAAGGTCCACTAAGGGGCCATGCATTAATTACATAAGTTTCCCGTGTTGGAGGGGGGTTAAAAAAATTCTACATACTGTAAATACCCAAAAATCGCCAAAATTTTACTTAATTAGGTAATTAATGAATGGCCCCTAAGTAGTTGCAGCGCAGTTAATGCAGCACAGTAATTGATGGTTTCCGACTGTTTGAAGTTGCCGCCTCAGTCGAAAATCAGCTTCGAGGACATAATATTCTATCGACGAAGATAAACAGAGATAAACTTTATGTTTGTGCCCAGCCTTCTTCTCAGTAATACACTTATTCTCTGATTTTCTTATAAAAATTACATAGTATTGAACTAATGTGTGGGACGTTAGGATTTTATTTTGAGGGATTCGAACCCGCGGCCTGCATCGCCACAGCCTAACGCTTAACCACTGTGTTACCTGACAGAAGAACTGAAGAGAAAAAAATTAGGACCACGTCAATAAGTGTGTTATATATTTTAAAAAACGAGGTAATATATCTGTCTATCTTCTACATATTCACGGTCTATTACACTTATATTTATACGATCATACGGTGTAGGCAGGAAAAGAGCTATTTGCCCAGCCTTAGGATTTTGGGATTGTACAAGCTAATAGTAATATATTCAGTAAATATACACAAGTTGACAAGAAAAACATTAGTAACTTAAGTGAAATATATTGCAAAAAGTAATATATGTGAACCGTTAGTCCAAATTTTATGAACCAATGTTTTAAAGTCAAAGAAGAGAAACTTTAGTTATTTTTAAACTACAAAATCCCTCGAAAGCGATCAATATATTCACTCTGCCCTAGTATAACGACTCGGCGGCAAGTACAGAAAGCCGTATAACCCCAACGACCTTTATAAGACCCACCCCTATTTTAGGCGATCCCCATGGGCATGTGCTTGCGAGGGGGCGAATAGGAGGGGTCAGGGAGACTAACCGTACTTGTAGGGGACGTTAGCTAGAGGGGGCTTTGAGGAACTCGATTTATACGGCGGTAGGGGAGTTTTGAACGTTGAGAATTTTTTCATTTTATTTTAACGGTTTGCTTTTTACAGTTAAAATATTTTTACTTTGTATATAGGCTCGAAAACTATTAATAATAATTTCATTAACGTTTATAAAAATAGCCTTTGGAAACTAAAGAAAATTTAACATCTTGTTTTTGCATAATCGTTACAATTACTAAAAGCACAGAATAAATAATAGCTTAAAGTAGCTACTTCACACCTCTGGCCATTATCTTACTCTCTTTTCGAGAGGTTTATGGAACGAAAGAGACTCCGCCACGCTGCTGATTCCTCATATTATTTTCCTTTACTTAAAAACGTATTGAATCAGCAAAATTGTAATTAACAGTTTTGTTGCCGCCGGCGGGATTAAACGTGATTTGCTTGCTCAAAAATATTTTTAGACGACTTCATTCTAGAAGGAGAAAGTTCTCCATTTGAATTCATATTTATTCGTGGTGGAGCCACGCTGCAGCTATATTATGGTTATAGCACAAATGTGTCGGCTCGACCGGGGAAGCACTACATTTCACTGAATACTAGCGTAAAATAACAGCGTAATACTGATGTGTTACGTATGGTGAGTGTCGAGAACCGGAGACCCTTTTTACAGGATGTGAGATATTTGTTACAGATGAGAACACATTTTTCATTTTGATTCTTAATCGAGGATATAGAAGTAGATGTCTGTGAGCCCCAGCATCTACTTGCCATCAGGTAAACTGTGTGCTCGTTTGTCACCGTTATTAAAATACACCTACTTTTCTATGTATTTTACGCGATATCTTCATTTATTTTAAACTGAATTTTAACATTTTAATAGGTTACGCTAATATAGCGTAGCTTGCTCATGTACACTCTAAGGTTTCACTTTTTTCCTCAAAATTATGTTTAGTATAGGAAAATAGCTAAGAAGTTTCTAATACTACTAATTAGCTAACTACTAATAGTAACTATTTAGAAAACAATCTAGTTGTTATCAAGAGATTGTGATGTTGCTTAGTCCACTCAAAGGTGTCAGAAAATTAAACATTTTTGTTAAAAAGTGAAAGCCGACTTATAAGAATTAAAAAGAATAAAATTTCTACATAATAGCTTCTGAAGTCAGGAGAAGAATTGAAGTCTTCTATTCACATTGTCTTTTAGCACCGACTTCAGGAGCTGTTAAGTGAAAAGTTATTTCGTTATTTTTAGTTCTCCAAAACCATTATTTACTCATTAAAATTATTAATTTGAAGGCGAAAGACCTTGAAATATCGCAGCCCTTTTGTCGATAAATCATTAGTTTATGATATAGATATAAAAAATGTTTCATAATGACTTCTTCACGCGATCACATATTGGTCGAGCTATGTTTCAATTTGTAAGTAACCTTTGCCCTGTTTGGCCCACAGCATTCCACACTGAAGATCAACTGCTGACTCACATAAACCTGGTGCATATGAAAACTTATTCTATGGAAGGCGACCACGAAGGCATTTCGCGGCTAAAGATCATGCTCGGAGATAAAGTCGACGTGCGGATGCTGGTAAGAGTTGCTACAAATATTCTTAGACTTACATATGAATTTAGTTAAAATCTTTTTTTTGAGTGCTTGCAATATTATGTTTTGTAGTATGTACTTAGTAAGTATTTGGTAATGGATGGCACCTGTGACTAAAACACCATATGGACTTATAAATGAATTTATCGATTCACTAAGCGCATGACACTTACCAAGTAAGTACCTATTATGAAACATATCGAGCGTTGCTTCATATTTTATAATTTCCCCTCCATAACTCCTCAATAAATTTGCTTTGTTGTAAAGGAGAACACTTAAGTATTCATGAGAATTTTCAGGAAATATCTAGTCTATACCAGATAGATAAAATAATTGTATTACCGTTACAGCCTATTGTAATTCAATGCTGAACATAGGCCCCCCCTATGATTGCTGCGTAGGGGGGATAATTGCCATAGTTGGCACGCTTGTTTCTAGTTGTTACTAGGAAGACAATGGTGCCCACAGACTTGTTTCCCTCTGCGCCCTCTTACGACACCTTCCAGACGATATGGGGCGTTCTTAATTTTGTAATATACAATATACATATTATATAAAAACTTTATAACAAAGACTCAAAATTACTTAGATATACTTACATTAGTTTAAGAACTTAGTTATTAAAGTTAGTTAAATATTCAAAATAATTACAAAAATATATACTTAGGTACACTTACATTAGTTTAAGAACTTAGTTATTAAGGTAAAAGGAAGAAGTTTATAATTTTTTGCTTTTCAGTTTTTTCGGCGGTTTAATTTTTTTGTTAAAAAATACATTTTGTGGGTATAATCTACTAATTACCACATGTTTAATTTTTGATTACTTTTAAAATAGCTACTTACCTTACTTTAGCTATTAACTGTTATATAATCCTACTTGAACTATTATTTGTTTAAAGCTGTATTCGATCTCGGAAAGAAAGTGTTTGCCAAAGGGCAGGCATGTGTGGCACTGGGTACAGTAAAAACACTTGAGGGTATTGCTTTGTCTGATCTAGAGCCAACCAGGGTATTACAAAAACCTCACGATGAAGGAGCTTTAGCAGAAATGAAGTCTACACACAAGACATACAGGTCTAAAGCTCATTCATTGTGAGGTTTTTTTGTAATGTAATGTAATTAATATGTAATGTTGTTGTAATACACAATTCAGCATTAAAAGCTGTGATTAAACAATAAATCACCCCTATTTCCCACCCTTAGGGTAATTTTTTTCTAAATTTATATGGGACCAATTTCGAGGTATACATTAAAAAAAAAAGAATTATTAAATCGGACTACTCTTTACTCTTTTTTTTTTCTTTACTACGCACATACTCGTAGGTGCCGCTGTGATATTACCAAAAACAATACATTATGTTATTAAAAAAAAAACTAAACTGAAGTGTATCATAGATATGATTAGCTAACTTGTGGGAAAAATATATATTATTGGCTATTATTATGGCTGCAGCACGAATGGGTCGGCTGGACTGGTGAATGACCACGCGCTCACAGAATACCATAAATACCTTAAAACAGTGGCATATGAAACAATGTCGCTGTGTTTCATATGGTAAGTTACGCGACCTGGATACTCTTTTTGCTGGTAGTGTGGCATCTTAGCTCTCAGTGCTCACGCATCTTTTAGATTCTTAACTTAAAATTGTTGCAGATGTCTTCACAGCATCTACTTTCCATCTGGTGGACTGTGTATTCAGTTTGACACTTTAATAAAAAAAATATTTTCCTCAGTCGGACGGTACTGATCTCCTGGTGCCGAGGATGAAACAACGCGACGACAGGCCGCACGTGTGCCGCATATGCAACAGGAAGTTCAAGAGGAAACAGCATCTGAAAGTGCACGGCAACGTCCACATGAGGTTGTCGCAGCCCACGATATGGTGTTCACTGTGTAATGAAGGTATGTGGCTTCGAAGCCGTAGCTAACATCAAATCCGCCCAGATACAGGATAGTAACCGCATATCCAATGCGTCTCTAATGATGATTACTGTAGAGGAGTGGCTATTTTTAAATTGTGTTAATGGACTCATACGTTTGTACTTTTGCCAATTTCAAGTAATATAAAAATATCCTTTATAATAATTTTGCTTAAAAACTTGTTCACAAAATGTTAATGAGTCAATAATGACAGTATCTCAAATGCTTAAGACGTCTGAGGTCTAAGCAGACAAAATAACTTGAGAATTGTATCAATTATGCCGATTTGTTAGGAAAAATCCTCATTATTTCCAGCGATTTGAAGATAGACCCAGTCGCTACGGCACACGCCGAAGTTATAATCTGGTTGCTCCTGCCACACATCATTACATATAAAAATGGTCCCTACTACATGGCTATAAGGGTTTACAATCATTTACCTAATACAATAGAAGCCCTCCAGTGTCGTAAATTTGAAATAGTACTCAAGAAAATGCTTATTGTAAAAAGATATTACAGTTTGAATGAATATTTTAATGATATATTATAAATCACTTTTATTTGACAATTTTCTTTATTTCTATTTACATATTTGACATTGTTAGTATTTTTCATCAAAATTTTTAAACTTTATTTACATAATATAAATGACGAATGATTTAAAATAAATGTGTAAGTATTATTTAGTCTGACATTTTGTAATATAATTTATATATTGTGTACTAAAAATACTGTAATTTGAATGAAATGAAAATGAATTCTATATTAAATAAAATTTAAACTCTGTTTTAATATGCTACGCCGGTACAGGATGTCACAAGTTCTGTAAATATATTGTTCCAACTTTATACTTTGTGAATAATTATGAATTATTATTATTATGAATTTCGGAGCATATATTTTATCGTATCCTAATAATTACTAATAGTTGATATGCGCAAACACTAATTACACACAATTGCACCATTTTTAATTATTAAAATCCACTTCAAATTATAATTTAAACAATATTACAGGAGTAACAATCCGCCGCCGGTCAAGTTAACTTTTTTCATTCCGTACTTTTGTTAGTTGTTAATTAAAGGAAGACAGTCTCATGTTCCTATGGTTTTTTACAAAAATTGAATTGGCAAACGGATTTACTGCACATCTGATGGTAAATGGCTACTGCAGCCAATGGAAATCTGCAACTAACTTCAAATAGAAGAAGAAACTACAAACGCATTGTCAACTCTGAGGACTACGATGGAATGCCTAGCAGCCTGTAAAGCCGCGTATCGATTATGCGCTCCAAGAGGTCGAACATTGGTCGAACGTTTCAGCCGCGTGAAATGGATACCGTCTTGGAACGAGCGCCAAATTGTTCGTTGGAACGCTGAAACGTGGAGCGGGACGTTCCGTCCGGTATCGGTATTTTACCGCGTATGAAAGTATTTCAGCAGTGGCGCGCGCGCCGGCTAGACGGTTTTTTCATCACTCGTGTGTTCGTTGCGATCCGAGCTATAGATAACCAAAGTTGCCGTAAATTGATACTATTATATGATTTAAAAGAACTGCTGTGGAATAGCAATAGTTAGTTTTAAGTTTTCATGATAATAAAGCGGTGAGAGAAGATTCATGGAGAGAACTATGAAAGCGGCAGCTGCTCGTACACGAACGACATCCATGTTGAACGGTCAAACACCGGAACAGATGCCGCGTGCGCCAGACGCGCTCAGTTGATATACTTGGAACATTTGTAACGCGTTTCGTAGAATGCACCAGTGCGACCAGTTGGTCGGCGCGGTCATTCATGGCGCGCGCGCGCCAGGAGCGCGTAATCGTAATCGATAAGCGGCTTAATTATACTGGCTCTATAACTCTATACTATATCCTTCAGATTCAGGAATACAGCAGTGCACAGAAATAGGTACCCATACTTACCTAGACCGAATAGAATTCACGCTTAGTAAATTTAAAGGAAACCACCCTGCTCGTTAACTATTATGGCTCTTGTTAATAAAGGTTTCTTTTTCAACTTTCAGGCTTCTACACAAACAGTCACTTCGAGCAACATCAGTGCACGCCGTGGGAAACAAATACAGATGGCGCGGCGGACGACGAGCAAGTCTATAACGTACCGCAAGAGGCCAAGAAGGAGAACATATGCTCGCAGGATTACGTTGAGGTATTTTATATACTATTCGCGCTGATAATGAATAGGATTGTAAAAGGCGTCGCCTCTATTCACCTCTCGCTTGCACACTCTCGTTGTCTCATGTCTTTACCCATTGGTAACTGCCAAAATATTTCATGCGTTGTGATAAGCGTCATTTGTGCGTGTAATTTCAGGTCCAAGTAACAAAATACAACAATTGCTGTTCAATATACTTTTAAGTATTGAATTGTTTTATGTAGTCAATGATTAAATTACTAAAAATATAATATATTATTTGCAAGTTGATTTACCTCCTTATTATCATTTTTTTATAGGATAGAGTGGCAAACGAGCACACAGTCCACCTGATGGTAAGTGGTTGCTGTGGCCCATAGACATCTACATGTATCCTCGAATATGATTCAAAATGCAGATGCGTTATCACCCGTGAGGACTAAGATGGAATGCCTCGTTTTCAGTAAAAAGGGTCTCCGGTTCTATACACTCACCGTTCGAAACACAGCAGCATTAAGCTGCTATTTTATGCTGTTATTCTGTGAGAGCGTGGTCCTTCCCCGGTCGAGCCGACCCATTCGTGCTACAACTATAAAGCTGCATCCGTAGCAAAGCTAGTTATGAGAAGTCGGTATTTTATCGATGATAATTATATTTATAGGTGATAGATGACTCAAACCCAGAAGAGAGCGACGTCGGGCATGACCAGCTGGAGCAAGAGGAGCAACTGGGGCCACTGGAGCAGCTGGGACAGTTCGAGCAACTGGAGCAACTGGAGCAGCTGGAGCAATTTGAAGATATGCAGGAGCCAGACTTTCCGGTGCCGCGGCGCGTGTACGTGTGCAAGTACTGCACCAAGCCCTTCAAGCGGAAGGACCACTTCAAGATACATCTGCACATACACACCGGCGTCAAGTCCTTCTTCTGTGAAGTCTGCGGGAAAGGTAATCTATACCCGCACACATGTTTTCACTTGTTGTAGAGGCAGATTCTATGAACGTGGTAAATATAAAATTTCCCTGATTATAAATAATATGATTATAAATAAGAAATTGGGAATAACCATAGCTTTTTTATCTTCTATTTGTTAGGCAATCACTTGTTGTGTTTCCTTAGCCATCGCTGATCAACAGTTATATTGAATATTAACGAAAAATTTATTATACGTATATATATATATATATATATATATATATATATATATATATATATATATATATATATTTAGGATTGAATAGACCTTCGGAAGGGTGATCGCTACCAAGCTATTTCTAATTTGTTTTGTGTTGTTAATCATAACATGCATTGTAAGCTCTTATTGAAAAAAACATAGTCCCGCTGGGTTTCTTGCTATTTCTTCTCAGGACAGAGGTTTTTTTTGCGAACCCGTGGTAATGAAAAAAAAGTAACTTTCAATAAGTATTGTTTATAATCCATATTCGATTAAAAAAAAGCAGTTTCTGTTTCTGTTACGACCCCCACGTGACTATTTGGGGAATAGATATTTTTACACAGCTACTACTCCACTCCATTTTTAAGGCTGTCTACAAAATATTGAACAAAATACTATAGTGAGGTATATTTGTGATAATTAAACAAATTGTTCGTTTTCAGTTGTGATTGTACTATTATCAGTGACCGCTAGCTTGCTTCTAATTTAATACGAATAACTTTGAACTTCTTTTGTTAAGGATGTACTGATTTATAGACGTATGTGCGTCTAATTTAATACGAATAACTTAGAACTTGTTTTGTTAGGGATTTACTAATTTACAAACATCACTGTCTGATGTTTTAATTTGCACTGTTTTGTTTCGTCTTACGTTTTAAGTGCAATTTGAGTCTAGTAATGAACATATATAATATGTAGCTATAGCTGCAATAAATATTCGCAAGTTTTTATGTATTGCATCTGATACAGGCAGGTTCACCGTTAGGTAGACGAGAGAGTGAATTTGATCACAGACAGTTGTGGTACCGAGTAAACAATAACTATATACTTATATTTTTACATATTTATTCTTACCCTAGTTTTTTCTAATGCCTTAAATTTATTAGTTAAAATGTATTAGTGAAATAAAGTCCCTGACTCATAAAGTAGTTGATAGTGCTTGCTTTATACCAATGATAAACTAGTGCTTGACTTCTATACCTTATAATGGGAAGTGCTGGACTAGCCAAAGATGGTAAAATGCACTGATTTAGCATAACAAAAGACTTTTCACTAATGCCTTGAAAACACTCACGTTGTAATGGATGGAAAGACATGCCTAGTCCATCCGTCTATTTCCTACTCCAAGCAGTGGTGTAAATATTGGCAGTGTTGTGGTTTGAAAAATAAAAAAGCGGGTATAGGTACCAGACTATGAGACATTTAATTTTGGCCCTTCGAGACGATCAAAGCCTTTTTTGTTTAAATTAGTTTTCCGTGGGTAATGGGTCACTTAACAACCTAATATTATAAATATATCTCAGGTTTCTACCGCAAGGATCACCTCCAGAAGCACACACTTGTGCATAACAAAGTGAAGCCAAAACCAAAGAAGGCGGTACCCGACCTCTTCCCCATCAGCATGCTGCCGAAGGAAATTATACCTGAAATTACGATACACGTGAGTTTTATTTATATAATAATGAATATAACAGCTATTCAAGTGTGCCCCAATCCGGGATGCTTATTGTAGGGCAAATATATCTAGAAGACTATTTGTAGTATACGGGGTTACAGGTTAAGTCGACCTAGATCCTTTAGGGGCTTGTAGTTTGCATCATTACCGACTGTTTCGACTATGAAGTACCATACCCAAACTTAACCGTTTTCGAGATATTGGATATTTAAATTTTTTGTAAAAATTGCCAATTTTTTGTCTATTGTACTGTTTTTTTTGTTATTCGTGCATCTTGTTTTATTTTTCTTATAATTTTTGTGTAGTAGATAAGTGGCTTTATTATTTTAAACACCAAGATCTTAGGTAAATAACATTCTGGGTCGTAGTAGGCGATAGATAGTTGAAAGAAAAAAAATTGTACAAAGCAATATTTTCTTTGAGCAATATTTTAAAAAATCTTTGGCAGATATGTTGCAGATGAACTTAAAAATATCTACGTTTCTTCAACTATCCAACAAGGTATAACAATATAGGGTATTACCAAAATTCCTAGAAAAAACTTAGGTGGAACGCTCACAGGTAGTATTAAAAAATGACAATGCTCTTGCGTAAAATTTATCAAACAACGTGCAGGGCAACCGTCATGCGGAAGTCACACGTCTCCAATCTGATTGAGTGTTAAATCATCCAGTAGTTGGATAAATCTTGTATTATAAAGTTTTCGTAGTGTTCTCCATTTAAATTGTCAGGTAGAAAGTGAAGCTTAATCAAACGGTTCGATATCATGCCTATCCAAACATTCAAGCTGAATCGTCATTGTGACTCCTTTATCCGCTTCTTATTGGGATTACCCTGTTCTTTCGGTGCTTAATAATGAGCGTTGTAATATTTTCATGTAGCCCAAAGTCAGGAATTTGACGTTGTTTCACCCCTTGCCTCGGAAAGCACGGTAAGCCGTAGGTCCTTCGTCAGATCTCTGTCCGATCGTGTCTGCAGCTGAGCTTCCAGAGACACACACTATAGTTTTGGTTACACAGACGGCTATTTCCTGCATAGCTTAAGGCCTTAGTCAAATAAACCTTTGCCTCTATTGAGTCGTCGTGCAAATGGCGTCTATTCCAATAATTATGGTCCTTAATTTTTCAATAGTGCGCTTAGCTCTCTTCTATAAAATGTCCGTAAATCCGTTTGCTGTATGATCACGCAACTTAATATTATGTTTCTTCTCTACTTTGGTCCGGTACTGCATTACCCCTCATTAGTACCAGTCCACTACTAGACTTAGACCACTTCACCACCACACGTTGTAGGGCTCAACAGACTCAGCAGAGTGGGACAGTATTTCATGCCGGCACATATAGACAGTATTCCAGCCACATGGAATACTGTTACCATCTCTGGGCCGGGGCACCCCAGTGCCAGCTCCTTGACCGCATCCAGCGCAGAGCGGTTCGGCTCGTCGACGACCGAGTTCTCTCTTATCAGCTCGATTCACTGGCGCTGCGAAGGTATGTTGCATCCTATCGCATCTACTACGGGGAGTGCTCTGAGGACTTATTCGCATAAATTCCAGCCACCAATTTCACGAACGCACATCGCGTTTAAACTCACGATACCATCTACTTCATTTGGATGCTTGGCGGTCCACCACTACACGTTTTACTAGGAATTTTCTTCCCCGTACAACCCCTCTGTTGAATCCTTTACCACCGGCGATTTTTCTGGACAGATACGACTTAGGGACCTTTAAGAAAAGCTTACTTCTTTCTAAAATACCGGCAACGCACCTGCAATTCCTCTGGTGTTGCAGTTATTCAAGGGTGTCCTTAATCGATTAATTAGGGACGATTTGCCTTAATCGGACAAACGGATTGGTGATCTCAGTGTCATAAGACCTTAAACGCTGCTCCCTGTTACCGGTTTGAGTATTTCACTAGTATCAACGACCAGTGGCGAAGCTACAGCTCCAAACTAGGGCAAGCCCAAGATATAAATTGATAAAAATATATAGATTATTGTTTTTAGCAGTTTTATAAAAATACACCAATCTTGATCTGTCTAAACGCTTCAATTTCATATTCAGTGCTGTCAAGGACGTGTTTAACAAAGCACACAGGAGGCATACCACTGCTAGGTAGATTGTATTACATATCAGCAATTGCATAGCTTCGGTGGCTTTGAAGAAGGCCGTTTGAATTTGTTTAAGCGAAAGAAAAAAATATTTACATCCAATACAATACATGAACAAAAGTAAAATGTGAACAAAGTACAATGTACAAAATAAAAAAAAAAAAAATTATTTACATTCTAATGGATAAGAGATAAGATAAGATAAGTGGAATCGTCTCGCTTTCTTAAGGAAAGATTTAATTACGTCCACGTAAAATGTTGGTGAACGTTTTAATTGTACCAATAACTGTTTTTTAATTGCGATAATTGATAAGTCTGAAATACACTCTTGACCTTGTATATTATCTCAACAAAGTTTAAAGATTTTTTCTTATTGTTTTGAGATTCCTCTCCGATTAGCACTTTAACACATTTCAATTCATCACAAGGAACACTCTTTCCCTTCATTTTCATTAATTTTTTTAAAAAAAGCATAAATTTTAAACTCGCAATACATTCGCTCAAGCTCAATATACAATGCACAAAGTACTTTTTGACAAAATGTAAACACTAAACAATGAAATGTGACGTGAACTTGCTAACATATCGTCAGCTCGTCGGCGTCGGCCGCGCGCCTCCTCTCTCGACTAACTTCATACCTAACGTGACCATACGTCCCACTTTAGGCGGGACGTTCCCGATTTAAAGGTTGTGTCGCGCTATCCCCAAAATACATAAAAATGTCCCGCTTTGACAAACAAAAGCGTGACAATCATGCAAACCCATTTGCCATTATTATGACACCGCGCGTACCAGGTTTGCATAGCTTGTTTAGTTACGTGATTATTCTGAAAAGCTACACTTTTGAATTTAAAGTAACGAAGTGACAATTTTTAATTAATCTACAATAAATTATCAAACAACATAATATATTTCCAATTAGTATTTATTTGATGTTCAGAATTCACTTTTGATCATTAAAAGACTCAAAAAACTATGTGTTTTATTTATAAAACTATATTAAAGGGTTCCAGATTGAATTTTGGTAACGGCGTAAGTATAATACTAACATATACAATAAGTGTAATACTACTGCTACTGAGAATTTTGTGACGGAAAAACCCAATAAATGATTCTTGACCCGACTCGGGTTTCGAACTTGGGACCACATGATCAGCAATAGCGTTTACTGCCATTAGACCAAGAAGGCAGTCAAAAGTGTTAGAACTATAATAATTTTAAAAGCATCCCGCTCTGAGGCAAAAAATAATGGTCACTAAAAAGCCGGGCTTTTTATCTCCATACTAATTGCTATATAAACATTTCGTAGTTATATTTCATTATAGAACATTTTGCCACATGTTATAAAGGGAGCGATCGCCTTCTCGAAAGCCCGGTAAAAAGCCCACGTGTGCGAGGGAGACAACCAATGGCTCAATTCAACTCTCCTTATATGTATGACAGCAGTATTCGTAAGGCTACGAGGTCGAACAGAGTGCGCGGGAAATTTGAAATGAATAACTTTGATATAAAATCAAGTTACACTTTTTGAGCGCGGTGACCGATAAGAAAACAATTTTTTTCTCTTATTGAACAAATGAGAAGTTAATATAACAATCATTAGACAGAAGACACCCCCACACAAAAACCGTGCCCGTCTGCCGAGTGCCGAAGTCTGCCGAACTGAAACGACGTTAGACGATGCACGACTTTCAACGCCACACCTCCGTGCCCGTCGGAGTGGGGATCGTGAGGTTTTTTTTCGTTACGGAATTTCTGAATTCGGTCCCCGCGCTCAAGGCCCGCGATAGAAGCTATGCAATAGCTTAAAAGCAATTGCTGTTCGTTATTCTCGCTAAAATTCTGAACTGGTTGGACCGATTCTAATGAAATTTTTTGTGCGTGTTTGTTGATTGAGTCCTTTAGATTTACAATTGGACCCGGTAGATGGATAGTCTTCAATAAATAGAAAGAGTTACTTAGCTGTGAGCAATTTCATGTCTGGGCGATGTACATAGCTTCCTAGTTGAATGTTACGTTTGCACATTATAAGGTCCACAATCAAAGAGGCTGTCTTCGAGATCCGGAATTCACCCGTGCGAAGTCAGGTCGGATCGCTTGTATTTTATATTAATTTTTGTGCTCAACAACAAATGTTGAGCACAAAATAACTCTATTATCAATAATTACAATATTACGACTGTTGATGAGGTAAAGGAATGATGAAAAGCCATAAATTAGAAATTCTTAAGGCTTAAGAAAGGTTATAATTAACGCATCACGTTTTTGTTCGAAGCCCAGAATCGGAATAGTTTAAATATCACATTTCTTTCAAAAAATGGTCATTCGGACCAGTCAAAAGAAAAATTCACTGAATAATTTTTTAAACATTTAATTGTTTCACAGGCACCATCGAACACAAAGCTACGAGTGCCGCTGCAGATAAAGGTACCGTATCAAATGGTGATGTCGATGGAGAATGGTGAGCAGCGAGCGGTCACCATCGACCCGCAGGCCAACACGAAGGTACTCTAAGTTCAAAGGAGAAAATTTTGAAAGTCGACCCAGCACCCTAAGCAGTACACTGTGCTACAAGTTGCAGATTCATCATTTCTGTTGGAATACACATAGTTTATTTTACCATGTTTTAGTAACTCGCTTTCGTTCAGGTCGAATTTAGTAACTGATGTTAAACTAACTTCTCGATAGCGATTACAAAATATATAAAGTGAATATGACGGAAAAACAAGTGGTATATTAAAAAAAAATAAAAATTTTACTTGTTTCTGAAAGGGTAGGATTATTATAAACATGGGAGCTTTTGATTTTTACGTGATATAATAACGATGCAGCACGAATGGCTCGACTCAATCGAAGAGAGCGCTCGCACAGAACTGCTTCTGGGTTTCGGCTGGTGAGAGAAGTGAACCGGAGACTTTACTGACAACAACTTATATCTGCATTTTGATTCTTTGCGGAGAATGATCCGCAGCGACAGCGACAAAAAGATGTAGATGTCTATGCATCAAGTATCCACTTACAATCATTAGATTGTCCTTATATTTAAAAAAAACTCAGTCGTAGGACTGCACGTCATAAGTGAAAACTTCTTATTTTCACAAACTTCTAAACGTTTGTTTATATGTATCTGAGCGTGACGGTCACGCGAGTTCAGTGCTTTTTCCCATCCTAAAATTGCCCAACGTGCCTAAAGAAGTTATTGTTATTGGTTAACATAATATGGACTATATTATGTTAACTGAATATAAATTGGGAGCATGATATCATATTTATTATGTTGGGTCCAAATAGCATTCACAAATAAAGAGATCGTGAAATCTCTCCTTTATTATTTGGTATTTATTGCGTAATTTTGTACATATTTTTGAGTAAAAAATGGTTTAGTTATTGAGCTAATACTTAGTATCGTAAATTTAGGCGATAAGTGATATTAATAATAGTTAATCTTTATAATATTAGCAATAATAATTAAGTATTTGATGCGAATTATTTGATTGAAATTTTACTAATGTATGTGTGGCGTAAATATAAAAAGAAAATGTGATTCCATACATGATGTATCGCATGTATATATAAATCACATGAATACATAGTACTTGGCTGTATTAAATATGTCCCACTCTATATACTCATTAAAAATATTTAAAAAAGTTATTGTTCAGACTACACAGTTATACTAACAAGGACAAAGTTACCAAAATTTGTAATACATGTGATTTTTGTTGTAAATAACTATCGAATTGCATTTGGTCAATAAATTAGCTAAAATTGTATAATTGAGGATTGTGAGTGATAAAATTAATTATATTATTATTAATAGTAATATATTAAGGAATTTTTCCATTGTTAGTAAATAACTGATTAAGGCTAAAAATTTAATTGAATATAATTTGTGTCAGAGTGTTGCCATGTCAAAAATTTTCGTATTTAAAGTTCCTCTTTGTCTTAACACAAATAATTTGTGATCTTACTAAGTAAGTTTTATTATTACATATGTAACAAAGTACAAAATAAAATATTTTGCACATTCATTATCGTTTATTTGAAATAAAACCTCTGTGTTATTTAAATAGGTTTATTATAAGAAAGCACAAGGTTGAATAAATTGGAAGCACGACTGTCTGTGATTTATATTGAAAGTATTGATTTATAAAGTGAAACCACTAATGAAACAGGGCATGAATTGGATATTAATTATCTACGGTCGCTGAAACTTTACATAGTCTACTTAAAGGTAAACGCAATTAGCTAACTCTACGTTAATTTTACTAATTGGAAAACTTGTGACTACTTTTAACAATTTATGGAAGATATTAGATTCAGATGTAACTTTTCGTATTTACGAAAAATATAAAATATTTTTAATATATTAAAGTTAACTTAGACCCGCGTTAGAAATAAAATGGTGTGTCACAAACTTTGAAGAGACCCCTTTTCGCACAAATGAGTGCGCTATCCCTGCCACCACTTAACTCAACAAAATTGCACTGGGAGAGACACCACCGTCTACAATCCGACATGTATTTCATCTCTACCGCTACTTCTTTACTTAGGGTGAGTGGTGGGAGGAAGAGCGGTGCTCTTTAAACTAAGTAAGACACGCCATATTATTTATGACGCGGATCTTACCTAATTAATTTTAACATATTTAATTCATGGACGTATTTTATATACAATGAAAAAATAACTCAATCGTAAATTAAATACAAACAGGAAAGTACATGGACAAATGTGAAGGACGAATTTACTATCTAAAGGAAGTTTAAAATTATATATTAAGCGGCATGTGATGAGTCAAACATAAGTTGATAATGTTATCATATTTCGTAGATATTACTATCACTTCAACCCATCACAAATCCACTGCTGAACATGGCCTTCTGGGAAATTCTCGAGTGACAGCTCGTACCGGCAAGCGCAGAGTGATAGTAAAAACAGAATAGTAGGATCCTCTCCCGCGCCGCGCAAAATTTAAATGCCTACTGTTGCAGGATTGTCACTGTCTTTTTGTTTAACAACTTAGTCTTATTTAGGTTTATAATTAGTTATAATATTTACAAACATAATACATACGTATACGTACCTATGCATCATATTTGTTAATCATTTCTTTAGTTTCCTGTCAATGAATCAATGTTTGGCAAAAAAAATACAGCTTTACATTACAACAAATGCCAAATAACTAAAATACGAGTAAATTAACATTCAGCATGTGGTGTCAGCTCACAGTTAATGTTTAAAATTAGTTTGATTTGATGTGATATGATAATTAATGTACTTAGGAGTATGTATTTATGTATAGATATCGTAATATAACCTATATATATATATAATGAAAAGATAATTTACTTAAACAAACGCATATTATATTAATTTATTTTACAAAAATAAAAAATAAAACGGGCAAAAACTGCTGGCAAAATTTTATTAAAAGTCAACAAAGGTGATTGCGAAGCGCGACGATGGGCTTCCACGACTCGGCCCGATGTTTCCGACTTAGCAAGTGTCGTTGTGTGTGTGCTGTGGCTCGTACGTACGAGTTCGTACTGTCACGTGCCAAGCACGCACTCATATTAGTGGCGTTCGTTACGTTTCTTAGAAGGAAGCCTACTATTCTGTTTTTACTATGGCAGAGTTGAGCGAACATCACTGGATGAAGTGATGACCTAATGAAACAAGTATGAAGTTGATGGATGCTGGTGGCTCAGGACTGAACTTTGTGGCAATCAATAGAGGAGGCCTATGTTCATAAATATAGAAACGTAAAAATCTTAACGACACGGCATAGATTGGGGATTTTATATCAGATCATTTAATAAAGTATGAATCGATAATAAAAATATAGTAAAATTATTTATACAAATTAATAAATACTTCGTCCATAACATAAGCAGACAGAGAATCATGTTATAAAAAATAAAGCAACTGTTATTCTTAACTGAATAATGGATCAACTGAAATATGATTCCGTAGCAAGTGGTAACAAGCACGTTTACGTTTCATTTTCCTACAATTGTCATTACATAACCCTTTTGTGATGACAGACTTTTCCCAATTATGTTCAATAAGACGCTTCGTTCCCAGTTCCGATCCGTTATATTATTTACAAAGTGCTTATAACAATAGTGTTTATTACAAGTTATTTGTTCTGTAACTTACGACTTATTAAAGAGAACATTGCAGAAAAAGGAAACATTTTTATAAATCTAAAACTAGATTTTAGATTAAAAATATATAATTATATTAAACTGGCCGTACAGTTACTACGTTTTACAATTGGTTACAAACATTGAATGTTATATTTCTCTGTCTATGATCTGGTTCAAGTATTGTTTTTTTTTTTCTTTATTCTAGAGCTAAGTAGATAATTAGCAAGTTATGTTTAACAATATATATCAGGTATTTTTAAGTAAATCTTTATATTGACAGTGAATACATTAATTTCAAAGAAGTTTATTCGTTGTTTCGTTCAATTATTTTAGATCACGTTGCTTGCTTTGTCTTCCATTTACTATAGCTATTTGATATACCGATTTTAAAAATCGATATATCAAAATTTATAGTTAATTATGTAAGACTATAGTAAATAACGATGGATACTTATAATAATTGATGTTTTTTTAAATATCAAATAAATTATAAAAATTTGGCCATAACGAGAAGACGCTCATGGAGAAATATTTCCAAGTTTCCAGAACCAGATTTTGTTTAAAGATACGTTTTAAATTTTCATTATAATCTATTCAAGGTTTACAATAATATGTTTGTACTTTATCTCTGCTCGTAGAGCATGAGGCTAATTTATACATTGAAATCTTATATATTATATGTCCTATACAAAAATATTTTGACCGATTTAACTCTTTGAATCAACCATAGATTTCAATCTACCAGAATTTACGAACAAACATTGAACAATACGCGGTAAAGCGTTATTATACCCAAAGATTTCTATGTATATACACATTATACAAGACCGGCGGCTAGCTGGCACGGTTAATATGCCAAGCAGTTGTATTTTCATTTACGACAGTTACTGTTTTTCGGCAAATACGAAATAAAGTTACAAACTTATCTGAAATAAATTTCAAATCACGTGGACAAATTGCACACATCAATAATGACAGCGTTTTCTTAATTATATTAAACAAAAACAGTGTTAGATTGTCGAAAACAACGTTCAGGGTATGGAGTGTACCTCTAAACTCCATAGTTCACGGTTTACAAAACAAACAATTAATTTTCTCTCTCGCTTGCAGTAGACTAGTACGTAGTAGTAACTCGAGTTATAGAGAATGGACCGTAACAAAATGCGCAATTTATTAAGACTGTAGAGCTAATAGTACCAATACATAGAAGTTTTTGGTTATACCTACGTCTAGACAAATTCCGAACAAAAACAATTTAACGATATTATAACATTTAAAGAGTTTTTTTTTAAATTGAATTAAAATTAACTCTTTTAGAGATTACTAACTCGTATGACTGATTAACATTAGCTCATTATAATATGTAATTCAATTTACAGCAAAAAAAAAACAATCAGTAAACGAATAATACGTAAAACTACATCATCACAATAATTTCAAAAGAATTTTGATTCGCTATCTTACATTTTAACTAATTTCATTAGATATGAATACAAATGACGCGTACAGATGAACGGCATTTATATAATTTTGTCATACACAGTATAAGATTATATATATATATATATATATATATATATATATATATATATATATATATATGTATATATATATATATATTATCTTGTACTGTGTATGACAAAATCTCGTTAACCCGCCATGAAAGACTGTTTTCTGTTTGCGTCGACTAAAGTCTATTTTGTAACCAGCTCTTGTACTTAAATGAGAACACATGTCTATGTCTGTCTGTTTTGACGCCGACGTGTCGACTGCAGCTTGCAGCCAACGAAATTTCCGAAATATAGATAATCGATGGCAGTAATTGCCTGTCCATCATACTATTATTTATTCTGTGCCCTGTCGTAAACAAAATGCCATTCATATGAACAAGCGCCAACTAATTATATATTTACATAAATTTAATTTTAACAATTTAAAATTTGAATGTAACAATAATGTTTATCATTTACTCATTAAAATGTGACTGTAACAATTTCTGTAAAAGGTAGAAGACATTGTTTCTTACTATATCAGACAAACTTTTGGTATTTGAGATTTCTTTGCTAATAAAATAAAAATGGGTGTATACTAAAGAGCAATTTTCGCAAATAACTAGACTACAAAACTTCTTTTAAATAAGTTTCTCACATTTTAATTATTATAAATAAATTTGCGCCTGTGACAGCAATAATATTTTTTTATATACATATGTATAATCCTTTATTTACTTTAGATCACAAACTACCTAAAACATCTCTAAGCGTTCGCCATTTACATGATATTTTTGTCATTTTATGGAAAAGAAAATATACCTTGTTTGCAATACTATTTTCACATCACACACGCACGCATGCACGCACGTACGCAAACACGCACGCACGCACGCACACGCACCCCCTCCCCACAAACACACACACACACCACGCATTACTTTACGCTGAGCGTTGAAAAAAGCGTGTGTTTCAGTTCAGAAACTTATGAAATATTAGGATGACGTATGTCGCTTATTGTTGTTGTTTAGCGTTGTGATAAAATAATTGCTAAGTAAACCAATAGGTGGCGTTATCATTTACTTACGTAAAATTTATTATCCGCGAACTAGAATAAGCTTACAACTACTTAACGACAAGCATTTTTTAACACTTTTTCTAAAGAGTTTAATCAAGATTTTTATTAAAGTTTTAAGACATCCGTCACGGGCAAGAGACCTCGTTTCATGTTTGACCCCCAAGTGCAGTAAAATGACTAAAATTAGATTAAATTAAATTGAAACGTAATATTTTTTTAAATGAAATTTGACGATTGAATAATTCACCCTACATGATACTAAAAATATATAACCAATAAAAACATTTACCAATTAGTTTTCTTTAGATTACTCTAAGTATGTAGTTTATGTAAGCATGTCTAAATGGGCGTATTACTTCGCTTATGTGTAACTGATATTGCAATCGATTTGTTACAGGATGAGTTGGCTGACATTTGATGGGTTCAATTACGCAATTATTGCAACTTTGCGAAGTTGAAAAAAAATGGGTAAAAATTAAAAAAACACTTTAACTTCGTATCATCTTAAAACGAAAAATATACTTAATTTATTGTACAGCGATTTCTTTGTATTCATTGGAATGGATAACCATGCCCGTATAGCAGAGTAGGTACTGTTGTGTTTCAGCAGAAATAGGAGATGATTCCTTTTAAAATGAACTCCCAGCTATAAAGGGAGTCGTATCACAAGCGGGGTTAGCTAAAATAATCTAGTTAGCTTAGACAATTAGTCAGTTAGCTAAAACTACAAGAATGAGTGGTTTCATTCCTTTATATAGTTTCATATAGTGTCAACGATTATAGAAAGTTATCTTGTCTAACCCGACAGGTATCTTAAAGATACAGGTTACAAAACACAGTGAAGTTGCGAAGTGATTACCAAGTGACATAATCACACGGCATTTTAGCTGAGTGGGGAGCGTAAAATCATCAAATATCAGCGAACTCATGCAATCACAAAAAGACTACGGATCAATAATCAACAAACTGGTGCTAGATGAGGGGTAAACTGGCGTCCTACTGTCAGAAGGCGTCCTTGGCGGCGGCGATGAGCGTGAGCAGGTCCTGCTTGTCGTCTGGTCAGGATGGCGCGGGCGGGGGCGGGGGCGCGGGCGCGGGCGCGGGGGGCTGTGAGAGCGGAGCGCCGCCCGCCTGCTGCGACAGCTCCGCCTTGACCCGCCGCGCGATGTGCGACCGCGTGTGCTTGCGGAGGTGGTCCTTGCGGTAGAAGCCTGCACAGTTTTTACGGGACATTCAACACGTTTCTGATACTATCATGGTTGAAAACGACATCAGCCCATGTTCACCTTTTTTTATAGACTAAAAGTGACATACAAGCACACAGTCTACCTGATGGTAAGTGGATTTAAAAATTAGTAGTATTTTTAGTAATTAGCTTTTGCTCGCGACTTCGTCCACGTACCAGATAGTTGGAAATAATATTTTCTCTTTCTTTCTCTATCTTACGTGATCATGTTGGAGTTATATAGATTGCCTCGACCGGCAAACGACCACTCTCTTACACAACAGCGTAAAATAGCAGCTTAATGCTGCGGTGTTACTTATGGTGGGTGTAGAAAACCGAAGACCCTTTTACTGGTAACTTGGCATCTCATCATTCGTCATTTAAAGTGACAATAGATATTCATTTTCTCTTAATCCAGGATGTATCTATGCCACAGCATCCACTTACCATCAGATAAACAGTGTTCCATTACCCCATAACGTCCCATGGGTGTCGTAAGAGGCCATAGAGAGAAACTACGCAAAATCTTCCTAATATACAAATCAAAATCACATTTACTTCACTTCAAGATCTAGCTTACATATATTTTTAACTTAGAATTGTTAACACACAATATTTAAAAAAAAACATATATATATATGTGTGTGTATAATAATGTCCTCCAGACCGAATGTCGGCCACGGCGGCCTGCCTCAGCAGAGGCTAGCCATCGGCGCAGGACAGGATTATAGTGCCCAAGTGTATGCGCAAGCACAGGTGCACTCTCTATTCCCTCACTCTCATAATCCGATGGGACGGTAAACCGACACGACCGGAGAGAGATCAACGGCTTTACGTGCTTTCCGAGGCACGGGGGTGAGACACCGCCAACTTCCTGACTCCGGGCAGCTACTGAGAATTTCTTGACAAAAAACTCAATAATTGATTTTTGGCACGACCCGGGATTAGAACCCAGGATCTCATGATCAGTAGTCGCACTGCTACAACCATTAGACCAATGAGGCAATACATATTAGATATATAGATGTTATATTTTCTTTCGAATAAAATTATAATAATGCCACCTACTTCATTCTATAGGTATAGGTAAAATAGACGCTAGATGGCCTGAATTTATAAAATCAAGAATTTTTAATAGTTTTTTTATATGTTTAATTGTATATGTTAATTTTTTTACTGTTTACTGCCGCTGCCATATGACTGTTATTTCTATACGAAAATCATAGATTATGAAAAGTGAACCAATACAGATGGGAAACGTACAAAACTGTCTACTACCGGTTTTGATGTTTTTTTTTTTAATTCAAATTAGTATTACTTAGACTCATTTGTTTTATTACTTATTTTATTTAAACGACATATCTTAATCCTACCATGTTTAAAATATCTAAAAAGAAGCGGCGGCGTATACGACTTGTGGCCTTAGAAGGAAAAGGGGAGATCTCCCGCCGGGCAAGGTGTTCTGCTCGGAGAGTGGCCAACGCTCCGTGTAATAGTTCGGAGATGTTCTAACGGAATACTGTTTATGATACGGAATGTTGATAGCGTGATTTAGGTTTCGGTGTGTTTCGCTTGTGGCGCGACGACAGCGCCCACACAGTCTTTTTCTCGCGAGCATTGAGCTATAATGCTTCCTATCTCATTTTCTCCCACTTTAAATCTTATGAATTTATGTGTCTGCCTCTTTTTAGTTTCATAGACTTTCAAATCACAACGATGCTAAAGAAGTTTTCACTTCAAAAACTTAAATAAGAAAAACTAAAATTAAAAATTTAAATTGTCATAAGGTCCTACTTACCGTGATATCGCGCCAAGAACGCTGGCTGCATTTCCACGCTATACTTAGTATTTGAGCGGGAAAAGAACCAACTCTCTTATCACCAGCTGCGACCACCAGGTGCGGATACAGTTCCTATTAGAACTTCACTCCACTTCAAAATAATAACCAAAAGTTACCAATCCGTTTGCACAGCAACTACTATGAAGAGGGTTTTTTTTATCGTTGGGAAATCCTCATGGATACCTTTGTTGCGGGAGCAACGTAAAGGTTATGTCGGACTTCTATCGGCTAAAACTTTTGCCGGCCAACAGAGAAAGAAATGTACTATCGACTGCGGTGTCTTTCCAAGTGTAGTGGTGTGGTGTTTGAATTAGTGATAAGGAGGAGACCTTGTGCAGAGGGCAAGAGAATCAATTTTTAAAATCATGATGGATTTCCGTAAAGTAACGCCTGATTATAGAATCAGTATTTAATAGTAAATATCTTAGGAAGAAAAGAATTAACGGTGTACGCAATACAAGGTATTATCATTGCGGCAGCAATGAGAGCTTATAAATAATCTTCAGTTCATCAGATGTCGCTAGTAGTCGCTACTGAGGAGGCGAAAATTGTTGTCACACAATGTCACAAAATTGAGTAATTGCGTTTTAAATAAAAAATTTCCACTTTTAGGAATATCCGTAGTTTGTTTTATTCACTTCAAAATAAATTTATAAAAAATACATATAACAAATATTACAGAAAGAAACATTAACCCTTACATTTTTCGAACACGTTAACTTTTTTCATTATGAAAGTTGTTAACTATTTCACCTCATACTTAAGTGGCGCCACCCAGAAAAAGTCGTGGCGTCATTGGCGGTGTACTGACCTTTGCCGCACTCGTTGCAAATGTGTCGCTTCTCGCCCGAGTGGATGACGAAGTGCAGCGTGAGCTGCTCCTTGCGCTTGAAGGCCTTGAGGCAGACGGAGCAGACGTGCGGTCGCTCGGGGTTGTGCGACTGCTTGTGGCGCGTCAGGTGGTCCTTGCGCTTGAGCGCCGCGTTGCAGATGTCGCAGATGAACCTGCGGGGATATTTCACATTCTAACATCGCCTATGATAAATGAAAACTATGAAAAAAACAACTGAAAACATTGAAATAACTTGCACGTAATGCGCTTCCGAAGTCGATCGAATCGAGATTGAGTATACTAGAATTACAGTGCCGCCTCCTGAAGGAATAATGTTATTCATTATAGTTTTTAAGTTTTTTTATCCTTTTGAATGAACTAAGGAATCAACGTAAGTTCAAAGTAACAACAAGAATCTCATCTAAATAGTTACATTAGAAACACAGTCCTCTATTTTCCCCACCCTTAAGAGCCCAGTCTTTCAGAGCAAAACAGAAAAATTGCGTTCTGGTGACACATCTACACCCTCCCTGCCCCGCCACTTCATGTACCGCCACCGCAGTTATCTTTCTGGCCGTAGCGTGGAAAGTTGCTCTACTAAGATTTTCCAGTATCAATTTATCTAATATACAGGATTATTGATAATTAGCTAACAAATTTTCACATACAGATTTTCTACCTCGTATCTATTTTTGTTCCATGCTTTTATTACAAAATTCGTTACACAAAAAAAAATATTTTAAGTTTGTATAATTTTTGTTGTTTTGTTGAAAAGGTTTCTAAAAGATAATCATCTAGAACCTGTATAACATGTACTCGTATTATTGATTATTCAAATGAATCTGGCAAGTGCTAGAATGAGTCGTGCACTGAGGGTTTCGTAATAAGTCGATGACACTATCGAAAATCCGTCAAGTACGTCAAGTAGTTCTAAATACTAAAATAGATTAAAAAAAAACTCAAAATAATTTCTATATAAGTACAAACAGTCCACTATCACACATATTTATAGTTTCTCATTAAAGTATAATGTAACTTTGTATAGGATTTACCTATATGCATTACAAATATGCAACTCATTTATAAACTATTCTTAAAAGTACCTACCTAATTATATACCTAATATTTAACCAAGTGCTCACACATATGCACGTTGTTAACTATTTTACTATGAAACACAAAAAAAACTTACCTTTGAATTCTATTTCTGTTCATTGCTTCAACGTTTGATTTCAATTTTCGTTTTCTGGTACAAGCATATTTTTTACGTTTATGGTCCATATCGAAATTAAAAGTTATAAAACAAATACAAAATGATTTATAAACCCTTAAAGAATTATATGCAAAAAATAATAAAGTAGAGCAACTTTCAATTCGTAATAATGCGCAACCAAGATTAGGGAAAGAGAGAGAAAGAGGAATGTTAGAGCGAGAGGAAGTGCAAAAATTTGGCACAGACAAGACGTCTGAACGCTACAGCCGCTCAGCGGCTACTAAGGAATATTGCCCGCAATTATTGTTTATAAAGTCAATCTTTTATAGGTCGATCGAAATAATTATTAATTTTGAAATAAAGTGGTTTAAATTATTATTTTTTAATATTTGTCTAATTAAACACCTGCCCTTGAGAAAAAAATAATTATAGCATAAATATTTTTAGCTATTGCTATGAAACAAATAGTTTTTTATGAGGCGAAAACAGCGAAATTTAACGAAATTGAGACCTCTTATTTAAGACAATGAAAGATATTTAGAAAAAAAGAAACAGCGCATTTTGGAGATGAAGATGTTTAGCTATTAACGCGCTGAATAGATTTCGCCTTTTTATTATCGATTGCCTTATAATGGTACACGAACAAAGCTCGAAATTGCGTTGGGTGCGAGAGAGCTCTATTTACCGTTTGATTTATCTAACATAGACCACATAGATGAACCAAAAAAAAAATTTAGCCATTACTTATAATCTGGGTATTTATGTGTTATCAAAATATTTTACTCTGAAACAATAATTTGCTGTAAAAAAAAGAAATCAAAGTGGCGCTAATGATTCGATGTGAGTCAACTTTAAAAGACTGTAGCCTTAAGGGATTTTTTTTCTTATAATTTTAAGGTACCGCCCCTGAAGTATGAACTACTTAATTTATATATATATATATATATATATATATATATATATATATATATATATATATATATATATATATATAATCGGGATCTCGGAAACGGCTCCAACGATTTTCATAAAATTTAGTGTCCAGGGAGTTTCGGGGATAAAATATCGATCTAGCTAGATCGATTTATTTTTAGAAAATGTCTTTTTGTCCGTGTTTTTAGGCAATGAAACACTGCTAAAATTTTGACAGATAGTTAGTGATTATAAATAGCTTAATTGGTATAATGGTTGGTCACAGAATCTAAAACCCCGGTTCGAGCCCAGACCGACCGACCGACCTTTTTTAATTTTTTTTTTCATGTTCCTTTCTTTTTTTGAGAAAATCTATTTTTTCGAGCCCTTTTTTTAGTATTTTTTAAAAACACGAAAATTGAAATTGAAATTATTGCACTCATGATGTTTTATTCAAATAACCAGTTCCGTTTTTTCTGTTATGTCGCTAAGATCAAAAAAATATTATTTATATTTCATCAGTATGTAATTTGTATCTAAATATAATTTCCAAAACACACGAATTAAAAAAAAATCGAGCGAAAAATACCGAGCAAAGCTCGGTCAACCAGGTACTAGATATTTATACACAGACGAATTTAGAACCCCCTTTTTTGAAGTCGATTAAAAATGAAAAAAAAAATCAGCGTTAAGTCATATCACACGTCACGTAACTTAACATGGAGACTTATAACATTTAGTCGTGTAATGGCAGCGTAAGACCATGCACTGTACCCCAAATTATCCCATGGTAGTCGCGAGAGACGACGGAGGGAAACCAATCAAGAGATGGCAGCAGCGTCTTCCTAATAATGATTTAAAACAATAAACTGCGGTTGCCAACCCGCTTGCCAAACGTGGCAACTATGGCAAATATCCCCCTATGAGGGGACCTATGTGGGAGGCAGAAAGTGGGCAACAGCATCTTCCTGAATAACAACTCAAACTTATAAATTAGATGAAAGATTGATTGAAATTCCAATTCATTTCTATAGTTCTCCATTACCGTTAACGGATGCGGAAAATAAACTGGCACGTACCTCCGTTCCATAGTGTGTCCAACTAAGTGTTGCTCAAGCAATCCTCTCTCTGGATAAGCCATGTGACACTCGGGGCAGCAATACAAGGTGCTGCCATCTGTAATTTTATGTTGCCGTCATCATTATTTCACCCGTCAACATACCAAATCAAACTAAATCAAAAATGTGAAATATTTGATACACAGATTTCAAAAAGCTAATATAACAACCTATTTATGTCCCATTGCTGGGCACAAGTCCCTTCTTGTTACAAAGAGGGTCTGAGTGTCGATGCGCTGCGTGTTAGCGGACTTCACATATCTTTGAAATATATACTTTTTAATTTCTCAGACACACAGGTTTCCTCACGATGTTTTCCTTCACTGCCGGACACGTGGTAAACCAGCGCTTAAACTTGCAATTTACAATATCACTAGTGCCGCCAGGGTTGAACCCGAATTACAGGCGTACTGTGGAATTTACAGAGAACGCCTAGCCCCTGAACTAATGACTAAACCACTGATTAGCCTACTCTAAACCTGTGTTCAAAATAAATTCAATCCTGATTCCCACCAGAATTATAAGACTGCACTACTGGTTGTACTGTAATTATACTGGCTGATTTTTTTACCGTATGGAAAAAATAGGGTGTAACAGGTGAACGGATTAGAAGCCTATGACACTGATATTTTACTATTTTTTATTTTATTTTACATTAACATATTATGAAATTGATCTATCAATAAATACTACAATAGAATACTGCAGGAAATAGAGTAAATGGGGCCCTACACTCTATTGTGAAAAGCCAGAATGTGTCAAAAAAGGCACGTAATTCACAATGCTATGTTGGTCCCTACTTTAACGTAAGTTAGTGAAAGTTGGGTATGGCAGAAGAAGCACGAGAGTAGAATAAACGCAGTAGAAATGCGGTCGTTAAGGAGTATGTTAGGGCTGAATCTGAATGACAGGGTGATAAATTGTGTGATAAGAGACGAGTGTGGTTTGCAAGATGATGTTGTGACCAGGATTAAGAAAGGAATGCTTTGGTGGTTTGGTCATGTGGAAAGAATGAAAAAGTGAAAAGCAAATTTATGTTGCAGAAGTGAACGGCAGAATCGAAAAAGGACGTGCTAGGCGAAAGTTTATCAACCAAATTGGCGATATATTGAAAACGGGCCAAATTAGGAGTACCTTTAACCGACGAGCATGTATGCGTAGGTAGGAATATGGATGTGGAGGAGGCGAGAGAAGTGTGTCAAGATCGTGCCAAATGGAAGTCTGTAGTCAGGCGTAAATGTTTATGTTATGTATGTTGTATATGTTAATACAACTAATTGAATTGAAAATTGAAAATGTTTGTTTTTATTTTTTTACTAACGAAAGTTTATTTGAAATTAGTGGTATTTATTGATAGTTCGATTTCATAAAACGTTAATGTAAAACAAAAAAAAAATGTAAAATAACAGTGCCGTAGGCTTCTATTTCGTTCACCTGTTACACCCTATTTTTTTTCCAGACGGTAAAAAAATCATCCAGTATATCAAGGTGTCTTCCGAGACGCGAGTAGCAGTTTTACTGTTCTAAACTTTACCTATGGTACGGCCAATAAGTATCGATACGAAAGGTTATTTACCTTAAAAACGACTGTGGAGTTGACAATCTATTATCTATCTCTTTCCATCTTGTGTATTTGTCGTAATGTCTCGTTTTCCCGGCAAAAACATATCAGGGTCAAGACGGGTTCGCCAACATTCGGGAGGCCATTTTAGTAATTGTTGTTTATTGAATTATTGTTATTTTGTTTTGTTGGTAATTGTTTTTTATTAAGAGTGGTTTATTGATAGAGCCACAACCAAGTACGTTGAAAGATAAATCAACAGATTTTACGTCTCCGAAAAAGACCGTCAATCTGCTGTATTTCGTAAGGAGAGAACCGGAGACCTTTTACTGAAACGAGGCATTCCATCAGTCCTTAAAACACATGATTCAAGGATAGATGTAGATAACAGCCACCCTGGACTTCTATCAAAAAAAAAAAAAGACATCCAGATATTATAGGAATAAGATATATTATATGAATGTTATTTAGTAGTTTTAATTAAAACTTCTAGGTTCGGAGTCTACTTTAAAATTATCTTAAAGTTATTTAAAAAAAAAGCAACTGTAATAATTAAACTTTTCTTAATATATTAATGATGCATGTAAGTAAAGTATGTAGATTATTTTAAGTTTAGGTGACTAGTTTTACTATGAATGAAAAAATATCGTTATTAATATTTACAAATATGTTAAAGAAACTTGGCCTAATGATAAATACCCATATAAAAAAGAGATGGCGCAGAAAGCATATATTTAATTTAAATTACACAATAATTCAAATTATAACAAAATTATAAATAGTATATTTTTTTTTGGTTTGCTAGACATTTTTTAAAACTATATTGTCTACTTAAATATATATATTTAAACGACAGTAGCCTAATGGCAGGGCGCGGACCGCGAACTCAAAAAGGTCGTGGGTTCGAATCCTTCATTCGACTACTGGCGTGAACCACTCGTAACACAAGCAATTTAAGCTTACCACGAGTGGTTAAGGAGAATATTAGTAATGTTTATAGCATTGTTAATATTCTTTTATTTTATATGATCTAACTATCAAAAAGTTACGCACCCCTGCTATTCCTAATAACCTTGCATTGGTTTTGTTTACATTTGGTATCGCTTCTCGTTGGCCGTAGTATAGTAAATGCATCCACAGTAAATGAATCAATATAAAAGTGGGCCAGCAACATCTTCCTGACAAAAACTTAAATTAATGAGATACTGCCGTTGTCAAGCGGGACAACCATGGCAAATGTGAAACAATCCTTGCGGGGGGCTACGTTCAGCAATGGACTTTTGTTAAGCTGTATAAAAGAAAGAAGGTATATTTTACCTAACGTACCTTTTATAAGGTCTGTATACGACCAGTCATGTCCTACGCGGGCCCCGTCTTTGCCCACGCAAACCCTAATATTATTAATGAACTCCAAATAGTTCAAAACCTCTTCTGTCGTCGAGCTGCGAACGCACCTTGGTACGTCCGTAATGCCGACCTTCATCGGGACCTAGAGCCTCCCACAATTCAACAATTTCTTAAAAAACTCTCTGAGAACTTCTTCAAAGCCTCAGAGTCGCACCCAAACCAATTAATTCGTGAGGCAGCTACCTATGCAGCCCCACCCCCCTCTCGCTATCGAGTCCGCAGGCCGAGAAACTCTCTCTCGGACCCGCCTAATAAACTGATAAACGATCTGAACTGCCTCCTGGCGGCTCAGGCCAACTCTAATTAAATTAAATTATTGTATTAACTAACATTAATTTGCCTTCGTAGGCACTCCCTCAGCGGCTCGTAGCCGCCTGCGCCCTCTTTTCCCAAAAGAGGGTCGCTCACGATAAGGCACAATACAGCTTAATCAGCCGGCTGCCTGTCCCCCAAAGGCGGTTTTTAGAGGGTATCACTTAGGGTCCCCGGTAGGACAGTGAGTCCCTCATAACCACGATAGACCGGCTATCGTGGTATGCGTAATGCATTTTCCGCCTCCCTACGTATAGGGTAGCCCTTTAATTGCTTCGGGCGCAAAAAAAAAAATTACCTAACGCAGTCGTCAATCGAATCTCTCCGGGCTTTGGTCTAGGCTTCTTCTCTTTCATCGATTTCTTCTTCTTTTTCTTCTTCGATATGGTGATGGTTGTTGTATTCGCGTTCTGGTTTACAATCGCGGCAGTTTGTACCACCACGCTGTTCACCGCATTTGAGGGCATCTGCAAGATGATTTTTTTTTAAGTTAACTCCATACTAGGCAAATCTACTGTATCGTGAAGACAGTTAACATACATAAATAAATTGCACAAAAATAAATATACAGATCTGCAACAATAATTTTTAGACCATACAAACATTTGTTTCCAGGCGGGATTAGAACCCGCGATCCTACAGCGACTAAACGCTTCGCCAAGCTAAGTCAATTCAAATCATTTTATTTAAAATTGGCTCTAACAAAGCACTCTGAAAGTACTACCGCGGGGGAAACAACAAGAATGTCGAGTAGACTATTTTTCTCCTAATAGTTCAAATATATTTGATAAATACATATACGCAATTAAAAAATAAAAATAAACTGAAAAAAGAAAAGAAAACGTTAAGAAAGAAAAAGAAAACTAAAAGAAAGCTTCGCTATGGAGCCATCGATTGATTTTAATTTTCATATAAATTATTTTCGGTTTCTCAATATTTCGATGATGACTGTAATGAATAAGATTCGCTACAAATCGCCATTTTAATAATGGCGATTTGTACAGGTAGGAAAGGTGCGTTGGATCTTTGTAGAAACCAGAGGTAGGTTGTTAAATCGGGTAACCGGTTTCATAAAGATAAATTGAGATAAGAATAGTGGCTGGGAAGAGTCCTTTATTCATTATCTAAAGGTGTCTCCAAACACGACGCGCAAGGTGCGCGGCAGCTACGCGCGGCATTCGCAGGACACAAATTGCCGCGCGACTAGTTTAGACCTACTGCGCGGCATTGCTGCGCATGAAATCGCTGTAGTAAAAATTGCCTTCACTATGATTTTTATTAGAGAAAAGGTTAGGTAAGGAAGCCCAAAATAAAAACATATTTTTCTTAAACGGTTGTATATTATATATTTTTCCAATTTTTTTTTTGTACGATTTTTTTTTGTATTTCATCCCATAGATCTTCTCCTACGTTATTATTGTGATATAGCTTTTTACCTGCGGCTTCACTTGCGTGGGCTTGAATTTACAAACATCGATCTTACTATTTCATATTAAAATTAGCAAAACTGGATCACTTGTAGATACACGTCGGTATCTGTGTCTGTCTATATTGGCAATATTATAGGTTACAGAAAGACATAAGTTAGTTGATCAGAATCGCATTAATATCATACGTCAAGCAACAACTTTTTATATCGAGCACGTCTTCTATGTTTTTATGAAAGGAAAAATTTTCTGGAATCGGAAATGCGTTATTTATATAATATGCATAATTAAAGTTGATATAGTTTTGAATAAAACTAAATTTACGGATTTTATCGCGTTTATTTCACTACTTTTACTTATTTTTAATTCCCGACGTTTCGGGTGCTTTACAGCAACCATAGTCACGGGGGGGGACTGAGATGTTGACCGTGAACATGGTTGCTGTAAAGCACCCGAAACGTCGGGAATTAAAAATAAGTAAAAGTAGTGAAATAAACGCGATAAAATCCGTAAATTTAGTTTTATTCAATGTGTAGTGTTCGCGTAAATTTAAGAAATCATTATGATATAGTTTTGATAAAACAAGATTTAATTTCATGGTCTTTATTAATATTGGTACCATTGAATATTGTTTAGCACCACATGCAAGCACAACATCAAAACGTTCGAGTAGTCTACGAAATTTCATAAATGTAGTTCTATTTGCGGTGAACGTGTAAGAAGAATTAAATTCGTGAACAGGAGTAGAAATCTACATAAGACGGGCAGCAACGTCTCTCTGATCGTAGCTCAAAATAATAGAAATATGCGGTAAAAATGATTTCCGAAACATTTTTTTACTTCTCAGATATTCTCAGATATGTGACAAATTCTTTACAGACATAAAAAATTCTAAAAAACCACTAATTTGGCTTCAGTGGCCTTATTCAGTGGCTTTATTTAGCCCTGGACTTGTTTTTTTTTTCCAGAAAATATTAGAATTACAGACTCGACTTTTCTACAGATTTATCAAATTTATAGATTGTTGATGTCTAGCATCCCATAGAATGCCGCGCTGTATTAGGACACACCCTAACAGTTAACTGTCGGCGGCGGATGATGAATGATTACATCTGCGAGCTCTCCGAAGATTTAACCGTTATCGAAACGTTCATCTTTACTTACCGAAGTCAAAGAAGATATAGAAGGCAGGGTGTTCGCGGCGACAGCTGTCACAATGGTTGGATGTTCTTCTCTCTTCGTTTCTGATACAGATGTCGCCGGTGCTGAATACTTCAGCAAATGATGCAGAGGGAGTGGCAGAGCCGAGAGGTAGTCCGCTACGCCTCCGCCGAGAGTTTGCCAAGTGGAAGTGTCAGTCATGTCGCCTATGCCTGTTGTATAAAAGCTATTTTTTAAACTGCCTGGAAAAATAATAAAGTTTAAAAGACGTGAAGAGAGTTTTAAGCTATTGCATAGCTTCTATCGCGGGCCTTGAGCGCGGGGACCGAATCCAGAAATTCCGTAACGAAAAAAACCTCACGCTCCCCACTCTGACGGGCACGGAGGTGTGGCGTTAAAAGCCGTGCATCGTCTAACGTCGTTTCAGTTCGGCAGACTTCGGCACTCGGCAGACTTCGGCACGGTGTTTGTGTGCGTGCGACTAGACGTATGCGTGTACACTAGCTGCTAACTCAATGATAAAAATTCCTAAATAACCTACATGTATTGTAAGATATTAAAAATATTTTAAACAATATTAACTTCTCATTTATTCAATAAGAGAAAAAAATTGTTTTCTTATCGATCACCACGCTCAAAAAGTGTAACTTGATTTAATATCAAAGACTTAACTGCATAAATAAAATAAATAAATAATTAAATTGCATAAGTTGATAAAAAATGCTATGCAATAGCTTTACCGCGGCAGTCACCGAGTGCCACACGTATTTTTTTTAATTTGGTAACAAGGTGGTACAGTATTATTATTTAAGTACCAAATAACTTTATAAAATAGCTTACTAGGTGGTGGGATTTTTCTACCTAGGAGTCCGTCTGGGTAGATAGACCCTTGGCTTCTTCCTGCCGCCAAAAAGCAGTGTTTATAGTGCTGTGTTCGGTCTGGTGGGTACAGAGCGCCAGTGTGATTAGACTGTGAAGCATTCCAATTTAGTTATTTGGAGATGCCTTGTTTTTTTATAGAATAATGGTGGCTAACGAGCACACAGTCCACCTGATAGTAAGTGGGTGCTGTGGCCTATAGACATGTACATTTATCTTCGGTTAAGAATCAAAATGCAGATGTGTTGTCATCCCTGTGGACTAAGATGGAATGCCTCGTTTCCAGTAAAAAGGGTGTACCGCGTTGAGCCTCAACCGGGGTAGGAACCACGCTCTCACAGAATACCAGTGTAAAATATCAGCTTATAGCTGTTGTGTTTCGTCTGGTGAGTGTACAGAACCGGAGACCCTTTTTACTGGAAACGAGACATTCCATGTTAGTCCTCACGGATGACAACGCATCTGCATTTTGATTCTTAATCGCGGATAGATGTAGATGTTTATAGGCCACAGCAGCCACTTACCATTAAGTGGACAATGTGCTCATTTGTTATCCTTATTCTATAAATAAATCTTTTACTGTTAGAACGTTATTATCCTATATAGCTGCAGCGTGGCTCTACCTCGTAAAACGATCTTTAGGTATATAAAGTAGGATGTTGGTTTAGTGTCCATGACATGCAGTGTTCACTTACCATCAGGTGCATTGTAAGTTGGTGGTATAATAACAAAAAGTTTGTAGGTTATAAAAACAAGTAGCCTGCGTACATACTCTTCATCAGATAACTTCACGCAGTAAAGACACGATTTCTTCTTAAGATCCTAAGGATTTTTGCCAGGTAATTAACTTATTTTTACACTGGACGTAATATTTATTTTTATAAATTAATGAGTTTTTTTTTGTAAAACTAAATATTTTGTCATGTTTTAGTAAAACTACGCTCTAGTGGTAGTTCTAGTATTATGTCTGAAGCGTAAAGCGGTCTTGCAGAATAGGATCTCAAAATTGCCATACATATTCTATTTTTATGGTAAGTGAAGAAAACCGGAGACCTCTTACTGGTAACAAGGCATTCATCAAAATCATGTAGGGTGATAATGCATCTGCATTTTGATGCTTATTCGAGGATAGATGTACGTGTCTATGGAACAAAGCATATTACAGTCAGGTGCACTTAATGATCGTTTTCCACCTTTAATACTATAAACAGGAAATTGAAAAAGGCAGTATATTCGTCTTAAAATGCCGAATTCAAAATTCCACAGGCCGGGAATAGAGAGGAACTGTGTCTGTGCGACATTACACTCCTGTATTTTTCCACCTGTACTTTCAATCCATTTGCCCAGCGCGATGAGTATGGGCAGATCTTACAAAATAAGCATACTATAATGCGTACATGAATAGGTTTATATTGAGTCTTATATTATATAAAGGTAAATAAAAAAATAAGAAAGTCGATAGCTTTTGATCGTTTGGAATTCCGGAAAAATTAAAGCCTACGTTCATATTTTTATAGGCTATGTTGTAATTTAAACCACCGAAGTATTCCTTTAATCAGGAGATGGCGTTACAAGATAACTCACTTATGTATTCAGCGGGCGCGGCAGTGGGGCGGTCGGTGCGCGCCTCCTGCTTGATGGCACGCGCGAGCGCCGCCGCCTCCTTGGGCTCGTGCAGCACCACCACCCGCTGCTGCGCGCCACCACCACCCACCCCCCTGCACCACACCATACCGTGTCAGTATTGCCTCTACATAAAACGCTTCAAATATATGCGGAATATTACAGAATATAATAAATAAATAGAAGATATAATCGAAATATGTGGCTTCCTATTGTACTGAGTGCTTTTCGTTTGTCAGTTACAAACCATATTCATAAATTTATCATACACTTGGGATGGCCGCAAATATGATCCGACCAAACAAACTAACGATGATCCAGAGGCTGTTTATTCAGTTAATTTTTAAGTATGAAAGACTTCTGATAAATAGCACGTAATTCCAAAATCTACTAATTTAATCTTTAAAATGATGTACATATCATATTATGATATAGTATAATATAACAGGGATTCTGTCACACGAGAACTGCATTAGTCTTTTAAATCCGAATAACTTTATATTGTTGTGTGTAAGATCAGTTTTGCACATCACGGTTCCAATTTAACTTAATAGATTATCAAATAATTTTTTAAGTCATTTTATTATCTTAATACAGGTCCGGGAAAAATTTCTGTCTTGGGAACCAGCTTCGTCGGGACTTAATCCCACAGTTATATTGTTTTAGGTATATTAGAGAGATAGTTATACTCTATATAATCTAAAACAAAAAATAAACAAAATATGAAGAAAAAACAATATTAGTTGCAGAGCTATAATCGCCAAAAGCAATAACTGTCCGACAACCTTTGAATGGACATGATCGCAAAAAGCAGAAGTATGGGTTTTGAAAAAATGAACAAATGAGGACGTGTAAATACGAGCAAAACATAAAAATACAAATCATATATTATACTAAAACATATATTATATGTCATAAATATAATATTATCTCTTTGTTTCGCTTTCGGTCGGCTATGGTAAATGGTAACGCCGCACATTTTACGAAGAGATCGCATCTCCACTGCATTCAACTTGCTTTTATGGTTCTTCTGGCATACCCAGGTTTCGCTGCCATATAACAAAGTCGGCACCAACACTGCGTTATGTATTGCAAGGCGTGCACTCTTCACTACGCCTTGCCTTTTTGACTAACGCATTACCAGGGCACCATTGACTTTGTTCCCGGCAGCGACACGCCTGTCCACATCTAAATCACATCTTCCATCCCGGCTGAAAGCACTCCCCAAGTATACAATATACGAAAGCGAAACAAAGAGATTCGCAATATGGCAGGATTGAAAGATGACCTTATCACAAAAATTGATAGGGGCGTACTCCGATGGTTTGGGCACGTTGAACGAATGAGTTGACCGAATGGTGAAGAAAATATATAGCGCGAAATTAAATATTAAAAGGTGTCGAGGTAGACCGAGACTAACTTTCGAAGATCATGTGAGCAAATTACTCGAAGAGGGGAAGATCAAGAGTACTCGGATACCTAGACGTGCATCTATGAAGAAGATAATGAACCTGAAAGAAGCGAAAGAGGTATGTAAGGATCGTGACACTTGGCGATCTGTTCTCTCTGGCTACCCCGTTAGGGATTGTGCGTGAAGATAAGTAAGTAATTATAAATATAATATATTTAAAATTAGTTAAAACCTTGAACCTGACCATGTAGCGGCGATCTAAGAATATCCACATGTGTAATTTTATACATGCTGTGACTATATTATGGTTGTAGCACGAATAGGTCAGCTCGACCGGAGAAGGACCACGCTCTCATAGAATACCAGCGTAAAATAGCAGCTTAATACTGCTGTGTTTCGTATGGTGAGTGTAGAGACCTGGAGGCCCTTTTAACTGGAAACGATCTAAGCACTTCTTTATTGGTCTGAGCTTAAGCAGTACATCTTAGTCCTCAGGGGTGACAACGCATCTGCATTTTGGTTCTTAATCGAGGATAAATGTAGATGTCTATTGACCACAGCATCCATTTAACATCGGGTGAACTGTGAACACTTCCATATGTCATCCCGTGGGTGCAGAGACGGATTAAATCTCAACAGTGTTCTAGGCTAGCTCCCTAAGGGCCATAAATTTCAAATTAAAATTTCAAATTAAATATATAATATTTTATATAAACTATATTATAGTTGCAAAATAATTAGGACAAGTGTACACTTAACACGTAGGTATGAATTAAAACTGTAATGAGTAAATGAGGGTGACGTAGGAGTAATCAAGTGAAGGAATTATTTTTTCGTTTAAATACTTCCACGCGCTCCCTTTTAGCACGGTAATATTATCTATACAGTATTGTAACTCGGCCGTATCTTTTATAAATGCCTACAGCCGCGCGGTATGTAAACATGCGATAGGGCTGCCTGCCACCAGCATTACATTTGCCTACTTTGTGTTTCCATTTAGTTTTATGATTGTAAATATACTTTTTTATGTAAAGAAATATAGTAGCTACTTTGTGAATTGAATAGGAAGTGTTCAATAAAAATGCGTGTCGTTTTTTGATTGGTAGATTTAATTAAAAAACCATGTTTATGTTTTAATAACAAATCGGTCTGATAAATTTGCGACCGAAAAATATTAGCGCTTCGGCTTAGACTTACGAAATGCTTTATTATTAGATTTTTAAATATAAAAAATCCGCTTTCTAATATAAAGCTTCATTCAATTTGAAATCACGTTTAAAAAGAAATCTTTTAATTGGTTATAGATCCCACTCTTTACAATTTATTGTTGATTTTAAATGAAGTTCGGATTTATTATTTATTTCTTACATTTTTTTATATATTTCGAAAAATCATCACTGCGGCACAGTCTCGGCTGTCTGCATGCCGAGCGCATGCCGAGATCGAGGCGCGTAGGCATAGCTCTCGCTTCGTCCGTTTGTATGAAGTTAGAATACTGTATAGATAAAATTACGGTGCTTTTAGCATGCGCCCCGAGGCACGTGCTCAGATTGCTCTAAGGATAATTCGCCACTGCGTGGGTGTCGCGAGAGGCGACAGAGGTAAACAAATCAGGGGACGGCCAGCAGCGTATTCATAATAACAAAAAATAAAAATCCGGTTGCCAACGCGCTTGCCAAGCGTGGCAACTGTGGCAAATATATAAATATATGAAGCAATCTGTGTGGGAGGCATATGATCAGCGGTTTACTTTATAATAGGCTGTAACAGCGTAACGGTAGAATCTTGAATTTTAAGCCAAGTTTTAACTGCAAATATTTGCCCAATGTGTCGTGGCGGCTTCAAAAGACATACTAATTCATATCATCTCGTAGACGTGAGTGTCGTAAGAGGAAATGAAACTGGGTATAGGCAGAAGCTTCCTGATAACAATTCTAATTAAATTATAAAAATCTGTAGATGCCATAACCTAAATGTAGAAACTAAAGCAAAAACCCACTCTATAAGGCAATCTATGGAGTAAGCAGTAGGCTATTCAGCATTCAGCCGTGGATTTTTGACGACTTTAACTGAATGAATGAACACTCACCTTGTTGCTGCATCATGGTAGCCATCAGATCCTGATGCAACTCCTCCCTATATTCCCGCTTGTCGGTCCTTTCCTCGGCCTTTAGCTGGTGCACGGTCTCTGCCTGCACGTAGCTGGCCTGACCTCCATACGCGATGTTGCCCAGATTGACCGACGACGAGGATGCGGAAATTGTCTGATACTTCACACCTGTGTTCACTGTTCATGAAAGGTATTAAAAATTAATCACGTGGAAAGATAAAGGAAGGAAAACTAGGGCCGATGCAAATGCAAAGGTAAAACCTTTTATAAACGGAGCGGAGTAAAAGTCTAAAATCATAACTATCTTTATTTCAACAAAAGATTCAATCAAATGGTGTGACATTGCGCAGATGTGAATTAGCGAATTGATTAGATAGTAAAAGAAAAAAATCATATTCGGATTTTTATTGTTTATAAACCCTGTCTGCGGTGAGCTACAAATATTGCCGAAAAAAATATGTAAATTGCCTTACGGGTTACGGAGGAGATAGATTTCAAAGAATCGTTTTCTCACGCCATGGGAGCTCCGCTCCAATGAAGTAATACATATCTCTGTTTAACTCAATTTATCGATAACTCGCATCTGCCCACTGCTTCGTAGAAACAAATACTTTATATTTATTTTTGCAAATTTTAAAAAGAAAAGGAGGCTATTTTGACGATTCTTTTTATATACAATATATTTTAATATATCAGGGGTGGTCTATTGTAAATTTAGAAAAAAATTTCACCACTAAGCGTGGCAAAACAGAGGATGAAGTTGTTAATATAATTATTACGACGACATTGAGGTTGTGATATGATTTAGTCCACTGAATAAGGTAAAAACAAATTAATAAAAACTAAAAGCCGACTTTCAATGAACTAACAAGATTAAAAACTATCACATTCTAAGTCGGGGCACAGAGTTAGTTGGTCGGGGGAAGAATTCAATCTTCTACGTTTTGTGTTGTCACCCACTTCAGAATGTGATTTTTTTAATTCTTTTTAGTTTTTAGAAATCGACTTTTACGTTTTATTAAGTTATTGTTTCAGCGGTAAAATAGTATAATGGTTATTGAAGGCATGGTCTATCTATATACATATGTCTATATGTCAAATTTCATTTGAATAGTTTTAGCCGTTTATGCGTGAAAACTTCCATATTCACAAGTATTTACATTAAGTACCTAGGTAAAGTAAAGATACACCTATAAGTACAGGTATACGTGGTACTATATTAGTTGTGACACGAATGGGTCAGCTCGATCGGGGTAGGACTACGTTTTCACAGAATACCAGCAGCTAAAGGCTACTGTGTAGAGAACCGGAGACCCTTTTTACTGAAAAAGAGGCATTCCATCTTATTCCGTAGGGGTGACAACGCATCTTCATTTTGATTTTTAATCGAGGGTAAATGTAGATGTCTATGGACTACATTCACTTATCATCAGGTGGACTGTGTGCTCGCTCGTCTCCCTTATTCCATAAAAAAACCTCTACGTCACTGCTGAACACAGGTCTTATCTCATTTCTCAGAAGGTTTAATGTCTGCCGCACTGCCCCGTTGGCGAACTTCACCTGTCGAAAGTATAATTCAGATATCTTATTCTCAGAAATGGCGGACTTCTTTGTCCTAAACCTCTCAAAAACGAAAGAAGGAAGCCCAGTAGTGGGACGTATACAGGCTGTAACTATATCATTTTGATTTATGGTACCTACAAATTTTGATATGTTAGGAGATAGGAGGTACCGATAGTTTTAGATTCCTTAGGAAGTGGTAGAGTCACACTGCAACTATATCATACGAGTAGTTGTAGCACAAATGGGTCGGCTCGACCGGGGATAGCACCAGGCTCTCACAGAATACCAGCGTAAAATAGCTGCTAAATCCTGCTGTTTTTCCTATGGTAAACGTAGAGAACCATTCCATCTTAGACCTCACGGGTGACAACACTTCTGCATTTATTCTTAGTCGAGGATAAATGCAAATTTCTATGGGCCACAGCATCCACTTATCATCAGGTTGAATGTATGCTCGTTTACCACACTATTCTATAAAAAAAAACAAATGACAGCATGCGTTATAATGGTATTGATTATTGGAAAAAGGCGGTCAAGTGCAAAAGACTTGCGCCCTGAATAAACGTAGCATGATTTATGTGCTCTTCGGCCTGTACGTGTACGTACGTAGTACGTGTAAGTATCCCAGTACACTAAAGTAAGATGTGGTACGAATCTTAAGTTGTTTGGGTCTATGCGATTAGTATAAAATATCTCCGTCGTTTTTATTGAGTTTGCGAATATCATGATATCAATAAGTGATTTATCTTAAAACCATATTTTACCCTACCTTACAAGTACCGATAACAGTTGATCTAACGCAAGAGTTCCGAATAGAACTATAATGTTTCGGATAGGACGACCGCCTCAAGAGCCTCAGTGGTACTTATAAATTCTAAGCCCTACCAACAACTTTAAAGTTACCCTACAAGAGTGAAATTCAAAATGTTTAAATTAGTAAATCGAAAACTTAAAAATCAATCTGGCGTCGGTCTGCCTGTTTGTCATAAGCGATTGTCTCTAAAATAATTTGGCGTAGTAATTTGATATAAATCACAGAGATGAGAGCGTGAGAAATCTTTATGTGCAGTCGACTAGGATATGTCTTTCAGCTTTGTTTCTTATAAATTAAGGTGTCGTAGAGTGAAAAACAAGCGCAAAGTCCAGCGTATGATAAGTGGACCATCAATTAACAATCAAAATGTAGGTGCGTTGTCAGGCCTGAGGACGAAGTTCTAGAAGGTCGGTCGAGCCAAACCATTTTAATCCCTTATCTTATACAAGCAATACCATTGCTTAAGCTCAGACCAATAAGGAAGTGCTTAGATCATATTACGATCTAAGTTTGCTCATGATAACCTGTTGGAACAGCGAAATAATTTTTAAGTACACCTATTGTTTTTCTGATGTAATATTTTTCTCTCATTACCATCGTTTAATATGAGCAAGTTTTTGAATATCATACTCGTACAATACATACATATCTATATATTGTAGGTACGCGTAACATATGGTTCCCTGGTCAGTACTGGCTACGGAATAACCGTATGTTGCGCATGGTTCAACCCGCTACGAATTACCTTAATTCATGTGTGAACAAGTACACGACTAAAAAGTTTCAGGACATTGATCACGCAAAAAATATTTCAAGACATATTTAAAATTAGGAGGTAGATACTGTAAGAAAATTCAACTTTTCAGATTTATCAAAAATAAAACTAATATTGTTCAAATGTGAGACCTATTGACGGACGTACTTATTACGGGCGGATGATTATACCCCTGGCCCCTGGAAATAAGGTGACCGCTACCAAGCTATTTCTAATCAGTTTTGTGTAGTTAATTGTGTAACATATCTATTATATGATTTTATTTATTATTTATTTATTTTCGTTTTATTTGCACATCGAGTACAAAAAGGCGGACTTAATGCAACAAGGCATTCTCTGCCAGTCTACCTCCAGGCTAAGCAGAGAAGATATTGTGGGTGCAAAGTGCAACCGAGTTAAAATATCTTTAACTAGTCATATACATAACATTACATGTTATAAACACACAATATTATTATATAGATATACATACAAGATATATAAATATATGCATATATATGCTTAATGCTGCCCTAATATGCTATATACATAATTAAATATAGTTGTTCCTGATTCAAACACCTATAAAATATTTGAAATAAAAACAGGAAAAAGGAACAGTTAGAATTTAAGGATATAAAAAATGTTAATCGACAAACTACTCCTGCAACGCCAGAAAATGATTCCATGGCAAGCGTTTGAACGATGCCTTACTCGTGGCTGCACGTACACTGCTCGGTAGTTCGTTCCACAATCTCACCGCGTGAGACGTAAAAGATTTATACGAGAAGCTAGTGTGACAGAGGGGGACATGGAGATTATTTTAAACAGTTCTTTTCTCAAAAAACAAAAATCCCGCCGGGTTTCTTGCTGGTTCTTCCCAGGACAGAGGTATTATTTATATTCTATAACGAATAAAAAAGTTTCTATGTCTATATTACTCCTACCATAAAAACTGGAATACATAAATATTAAAATTACCAGTGTGCAGGGGCGCAAGTCCAGCTAGAGTGACTGCTCCAGGTTGTGCGGAGCTGACGACCACGACGCTCTCAGCCTGTCGGAACTTGCCGTCCACTACACCAGCGGTCGGGGCCACCGCGAACTGAACGCCACCCGTGCCGCTCGTCGAGTAGCGCGTGTCCTGCACCACGCCGCCGCCTCCGTTTCCTTCGTACCCGAACTTCGCCGCGAACTGGTGGATGGTCGGGATCCCCGCCGCTGACGGTATGTGACCCGTGAACTGGGCGAAGTTCATATTTCAGCGTATCTGAAAGCGCGACAGACATCCCGGTGTCAAGGTTAAAACCACTCGTTTATGCTGAGAACACGCACCATAACAAAGGGTGCGGCCCCTGGTAGGGCGCTCACTCAACCCCCGCCATTCTGCCTCACCCCAATCGCCGCCGACATTTCTAGCGCTCTATTTTTACCGACCCACGCTCCCACACCATCGTTCCTTCAGACAGCACTGGGACATCGAGGGACTGACTTAAGGAGTTACATCAAATTGTTATTGAATAGTTACCTGTTTCCTGGCGATATGAACTCTTTTCATAACGTTTTAATTGTTGCCCTTCGACGAAATAAGCGAAGTCAGGGACGGCGATGTGCGCGGACATGATGCGCGGAGGGTCAGCACGCCTGCGCTCTCGGCAGCAACCTCAGGGTGTGAGAGGAGCGCGGAGTGGGCACGGGGGCTGAGCCGCGACTACACGTGCTCGACAGGGAACTTGTTGAAATCCTTGCGACCACGGCTTAATTTATAGCTTCTTTTTATTCAGTCCGTGAATAATAAGTTATTAAAACTTATGAAATTTTCGCAAATGTGGAATGAAATGGGATCAAATAACTCTACAGCTTATCATTCGTTTCATTGTTATTCAATAAATTAATGTTAACCAAACTTTGAAATTCACAGCTGAATTGCCTATTGAAGAATACGCCAAATTACGCGTGTCAGAAAACAATCGTCACACGTAGTTTATTATCTCACATCATGGTCATCAAACTAGTCCTACGTCTCAATTTTTATATATCTACATTTTACGTTGACATTTGGCGAATGCATTAGAAACGCCATAAAAAAAGAACTTCTTTTTGCGCCAAGTGCTGATTCTCACATAGCTCAACAAGGATGATAAACGTCGTGAGGCATGCATGTCTTTGAAATTTAAAAAAAGACATTTCGAAGACAAGTGAAGTCTACCAACGGGTAAGTAATGGGACGCAATGGGTCAGCGGACAATTTTTTTGCTCTAAAACCCTCTTAGAAATGAGAGGAGGCCTGTGCCCAGTAGTGGAGCGTATATGAGCTGTAATTTTACTTTTTCTTTAAATAAAATGTTTCCCCCACACTAAGATTTTCTCTTGTATCGTGGAGATAGTTTACATACATAAATTTTACAAGGACAAACATCCTCCTTGTTTCGTGCGGGATTCGAACCCACGGCCACAACTTATTGCTAAACCACTGCGCAACGAATCCGTCAACTTTACTCATTTACTTCTTACGACTCAACCACCATTTTCAGGTATTACAAATCCACTATTTGCTATAAACAGCTACGCTACATAATGACATAATTAATTGAAAATATGAATTAAGGGTACCATTTATGTATACGCTGCACAAAATTATATCGAATCCTTTTGATTTACTGAAATGCTACCGATACCGAAAAAACAGAACTTTCATGACACATTGGCCGAATGTACTCGGTCGGTGTCAATTGTTATTCATTATGGCAGCGAACAAGTTATAAGAGGCCGACGTAGCTTAGTGCTCCATTTAAAGTAGGCTGGTCATGTGTGTTGGAATTCCAAATAAAGAGATCCAACCAAAGACTAGCCGTTATTTTTCGTGTCTGACTGTGTTATGTTACTGTTACCATGCCAAAAGAACTTACCGCCATAACTTAGTTTAGTTATAATTTCACCTATCGCCGCAATGGGCTAGCTGCCTGGCTGTACCTAGTCGTAGTCGGATAAACCTGGATGTATTCGCATTTCGCACCCGACGTATACATGCATTTTCACATGAGTACCTAAACACTTGGACAAGTAGGTACCTAACAACTATTTATGAGACATTTCAAATACTTGTTCCGTGCGCGCGGTGCGGGAATCGGACCCCACAGCAAGGGGCAACCGATCCGATATCGATTACCGCTAAATCCTACTATATAAGAAATCCGAATACTACAATTTTATAAGTAGGAGTGAATATGTACTATTTCAATAAAGGTTGTGACTGTGGCTGTTAATAAAGGTTCAAAAATAAATATTAATTTGACTTTCCTTATAACATCTAGAAAATGAAAAGTTGCGGTTGCCAATTTGCTTTCAATCATGGCAACTATGACAAATATATGAGGAAATCTAATAAGTAGGCCTCCCAAGCAGCATGCAAGCTGTTTACGAGCTGAATTGAAGTTCGGTTTTATGCTAAAGGCAGTATTTTCTGGATGTACAAAGGCTGTACAAGCTTATACAGTTCTTAAGTAAAAAATTGGCACAAGTTATGCAGCTTTATGCGTTAGTAGCGTTGTTCAGTAGCTGTACAAGCATAAGAGAGACGTATAGCTGCTGTATTACAGCTGTTATTTGTTTTGCAAGGAAACCATTACACTACAGATCTTGCCTTATAAGTAACTTGTAAGATTTTTTTCTCTTATAATGATGTACACACCTATAAAGACATATCCTTTATCTAAAACTGTAGTGTTTTGATTGTAGCAATGTTTATTGATATTGTCGATGGTGTATCTATCTAAATAAATAAATAAAGATAAGCGTTCTAAATTGGTTTTTGAACGGAATTACAAACGAATATACAACAAAAGAACTATACTTTCGACTAGATAGTATACTCACTTATACGTGGTGGAGCCATAAAGCCATGCAGCAGCTATATTACGGTTGTAGCACGAATGGGTCGGCTTAACCGGGGAAGGACCACGCTCTCACAGAGTACCAGCGTAAAATAGCAGCTCTATGCCGCTGTGTTTCGTATGGTGAATGCAGAGAACCGGAGACACTTTTTACAGGAAACTAGGCATTCCATCTTAGTCCTCAGCGGTGGCAACGCATTTGCATTTTGATTCCTAATCGAGGATAGATGTGGATGTCTTCTTAAAATCAGGTGGACTTTGTACTCGATTGTCACCCTTATATTATTAAAAAAATATATACTTTAGGTAGGTATCATAAGAGACGAAAGGGAATCTGGAACAGACGATGAGCAGCAGCCTCTTCCTGATGACAACTCAAAATAGTTTACAAAAAATACCTGCGGCTCCCATCTCGCCTGGCAAGCTTGACAACTATAGCAAATATCGATGAGGTAATCTGTGGAACGGGCCTATGTTTAGTAGTACACTTTGACAGGCTGCTATGATGTTGGCGATGGTGATGGGAGAAACCAATGTCCAGCCAATGGTAAATATCGGTTCCGTACGCACGTTATGATCCGAAACCACGAGACAGTTCATTACGCTAGCGGTAACATAAGTAAATACCAAGCACTCAAATATAATAGAGCCATGGTAGCTCAAGTGTTACACGTAGCGAACCAGGGTTACCATCCCCGGCGGCATCAATGAAATTGTTAATTGCAATTTTAAGTGCTGATTCACCACGTGCTTAGAGGCGCAGGTAAACATATTGTAAAAATCCGTACATATATATGAGTAATAAAATATTTTCAATATATAAAATTAATATAAATATATTAATATTAATAAAATACTGTATATGATTCATAATGAAGTGTTAATCCCTACTAATGTGATAGTGAAAGTTAGGTGTGGCAGAAGAAGCACGAAAGTAAAATAAATGCTGTACAAATGTGGTCTTTATGGAGTATGGTAGGGTTGAATCTGAATGACAGGGTGAGAAATTGTGCGATAAGAGAAAAATATGGTGTGCAAGATGATGTTGTGACCAGGATTAAGAAAGGAATGCTTCGGTGGTTTGGTCATGTAGAAAGAATAAGCGAGGAAAGAGTGACAAAGCAAATTTATATTGCACATGTGAACAACAGAGTCGGGAAGGGACGTCCTAGACCAAGATTCATCGACCAAATTAGGAATATATTGAAAATGGGCCAGAATAGGAGTACCCTTAACCGACGAGCGTGTATATATGGGTGTAAAGGAAGTGAGAGAGGTGTGTCAGGATAGTGTCAAAGTCCGATCGTAGAAGTCCGTAGTGTCTGCCTACCACCTCTGGGTGACAGGCGTGAGTGTTTATGTAATGGAATAGTGCGGCGTACGCATACCAGTCGCACCATAACCCTCTAGGTATTTTTATATAGAATAAGATTGACCAAACGAGGACATATTCCACCTGCTTGTAAGTGGATGTTGTGGCTCATATACGATGTGATATTTATCCTCGATTACGAATCAAAATGATGATGCGCTGTCACCCGTGAGGACTAAGATGGAATGCCTAGTTTCCAGTAAAAAGGGTCCTCGATTCTCTACACTCACCATACGAAACACAGCAGCATTAAGCTGCTGTTTCGCTGGTATTCTATGACGTGGTCCTACTATGGTCGAGCCGACACATTCGTGCTACAACCATAGGTTCTACCACGTAATCAGAGGATGCCCGTGCCCAGCTGTGGGACATAGCAATCGGTTAATATGTTTGAACACAGCACAAGTTCAACGTCTTTTAGATATAACTCATTAACTCCAATATAAAAGGAACAAATTTAAAATTTAAATTATCCCAAATTGAATGTGATTTATAGGCAACAACGTTTTTGCCTACCCATCGACCCTTATGAATGTGTGCATGCGTAGTAAAGTCAGTTAAAATAATTCATTACCTCGCAATTTGCATTTAAAAGATAAAAAAGACAGAATGTTTGAAATTTTATTTAATTAATTTTTCTTTACCATTTGCCTACATTGCTTATTCTGAGCCTTCTCTGCAAATTTGGTCGATTATAAAATAACCCTGTATAAAGAGAGTGTAAAAATTAAAATCGTTTATAAAAATCAGTGGCTTTATTTTTTAATCTCATTAATAAATAAGTTTCATACAAAATTGTTTACACTTATAACCTTCAAATGAAAGTTTATCACCTATCTGTATACTTTAACTTATAATACTTTTAACTACTAATTTCAATAATCTTACAAAAAAATACAAAAAGTAAGAATCTACATTGGAGAAAATTGTTAATTAAAAATAATTTCAGTTGCACAATTGAAATACTTAGGACGACACACACGGTCAGTTCAATTGCTCATTCCAACAGATCAGTTCAAACTAAAACTGTCGATATTTTTTAAAATAGTGGATTTTCGATATATCGATAATTATAAATATATCAATATCAGAGTTTTATATATAAGTTTATTTAGTTTTAGTTTGAACTGATCAGTTGGAATGATCAGTTGAAAAGACTGTGTGTGTGTCGTCCATTAGAAGTACTTACTACATGGTTACCTACATCGTAGTTCTTCAAATTCAAAATTACGTATGCGGAAACAATCAACTAACACAACTTGTGATGAACTGATTATTAAAAACTATGTTAGATGCTAGAATGTACAACTTAGTCTACTCTCATTTCAAAAAATATGTAATCCACCATACTGAACAT